AGTCATTGCAGGGTATTTTGTAAATTGTTTTATTTTGTTTAATTGGGCGACCGACAGGGTCCCTTAACCTACAGAGCTTGTTCTACCTGAGTGAGTTTGTAGGTTTGAATGCCACCACTCTAATTCCTGCTTTATTTAGAATCCTACGTAGGGTCTCAGATGTCCCCTCTTTATATGGTATAACTAGATGCTTTATATTCTCTGTTATTTATGTTATCGTTACTTTTTATATATTGATCCGTAGAATCAATTTCGAAATCCTTGACTAGGCAGTCTATATATATATATATATATATATATATATATATTATTCAAAAAAGGTAATATTATAAAAATTTTTCCCATGCCTCTAATTAACCTAGAAATAATCTTCTGTTCAGTAACAGTAAAAGCAAAAACGCAAGTTTTCCAGTATGATAATTGATTATTGTTACTATTATTTTGTTTTACTCACATTCCTCTTTCCTATCTCTCCCTCATTCTCCGTCCAACTCTCACTCTCTATCCCCCTCTATCTCTCTATACACAAGTCTATCTCTGTTCAGGCAAATCATCCATACGTGTGTACATATGCATATAGACATACATACATATACACCAATGGAAGCATATACAAGTATATATATGAGACTACTAACCAATATCTATCCATATATCCATATATATATATTCCAAATTCATTTATGCATTGATCTGCTACTCTTCTATCTCTGATTAGAGTAAACTAATAACAGCCATCACAACACCACTACCCATTTTGCTGTTTCGTAACATGCCTAACCTCTTCATAGTCAATGCATATATATATATATATGTTGAAATAACATAGCCTAACTTTAATTCGCCTTTCAGTGTAACTGGCGTAGACTAGAAGTTTTACATATAAGTCTTAAATAAGCTTATTGTATAAGCTAGTCATGCGTATACATCACTACACACATATAAATATATATGCATCTATTGATTGTCTACTCTTGTCTAATCGATAGAACTTGCCTATATATATATATATATATATATATATATGTATATATAGTTTTCTCTCTTTTCTGACAGTTATTTTATGCACGGTCCTAATGAAAGGCAGAAGAGAGACAGGAAGAGAATTGCAATCTTGTGAAGTGGAGAGCAGTCTTAAAAATATATATATATATATATATGAAAAAACTAACTGTTTGCCTTTCCATAGGTCTCAGCTACATATATATATATATGTATATATATACTTATAAACACTTAAGGGACTGGATTAGCGTGTTACCCTCGATTTCTACCTATTATAAAGGGTGGCAGTTTAGTTTATTACATAATAATAATAATAATTTGTTACAGGATATTCATCATGAGCTGACATTATTTAGAGAACCATTGGAAAACCTAGGAGTACTGGACAGCTGTTTCATCCTAGTCTGGGACTCTTCATCAGTACGCAACCACGGAGATTCAAACCAATCAAATCCCAACAAACCAACAGTTGAATATCAATGAGATGCTCACTAGTGACTTGCCCTATTCAGAAAGATAGTTACCTGGGGTTCTAGTGAGAAGTCGTGACCAGTAGGGTGGAGCAGGTCGGATGTGAGGACAAATACTCACCGAAGACATTGGCTAGGGGTCGCGCTATGTCGTGAATTGGCAGAAGTTAGAATTCATGGGCCATTGGATTGGATCCCAGTGGCTGAATGGTATACGAGCTCGCCTTGTAACCAGAAAGTCCTGGGTTCGTATCCCGGCGGGTGCTCAATGATAAAGAGTCCCAAACTATGACGAAACAGCTGTCCAGTACTCCCAGTTAGTTTTCCAGTGGATTTCTAACTAATATCAGCTCATGATTAAAATCCTGTAACCAATCAAATCCCTACAAACCAACACTTGAATAATAATTTGCTTTATTTCGAGCCTGACCACCGACTGATATCAGTTCGATAAGTACTGAAAACCACCAAGGAGCTGTTTCGTCCTAGTGTGGCGCTCATCTGCAGTACGCAACCACTGGAGTTCATACTCAGGACCTTCTGGTTACAAGGGAAGCTCGTAGACCATTCAGCCAATGGGGACTGACTCAATAATTCACAGATGCCAACTTCTACCAATTCATGATGTTAGCATGACCACCATTAGCCAATGGCATGCATGGCGAGTATTTGTCCTGAAAGATTCGTAGACGTTGTACACCCCTACACTAAAATCACTCCCAACATACCGAATACTTTCATTAAAACAGATATCTTTGCTTGATACTGATGGTCTGATATGTGCCTAGAAAGAAGAACAAGCCAGTGAGTTCTGCAACTGTAGCAAATTATTCAACAACCCATCAAACAGCAGGTAGATTTGAAGAAGGAAATGGAAGTGGAAATCGAGTGAACATACGCTGAAGGGGACCGTCGGATAAAATACGATTTTGAAGCGGTGAGTTAGGATTTCAAGGGTGATTTGGAGTGGATTCTGTGAGGAGGAAATGCATGTTTATGCACATTCATGGAGTCAGGTGGAAACAACTGACAACAAAGAAACGTAAAGAAAGAGAATGTATTACTGAAGCTCTATATTGAACTGGGGGAAACTTAATAGTTGAATAGTAATATATAAGCATCAATTTTCAAAATATGAGAATAACAATTAAAAAATTTGATTTATTCCAAAACAGTACTTATGTGATATAGTGTGGAATTCTCAGCGCTTAGTACGATAGCGCATCTAATTTACCTCAACAACAGTAAAAACAAAAACAAAAAAGTTACATTTTGGAATAAAGAAAGAACAAATATATTAGTGACGTTACGTTACAGAATTGCCAGACAGGTTATTATCCACGTTAGTTTTTGAAACTTGTCCAATCGATCAATCTACCTCCAGATGAAGAAAGAATCTGCGTCGCATCATCACATCGCATATTGACTCAACGCGGGAACACATCACTACATTGAGATCAAATCTAGTCAAATTCAACAGTCTACTGAAAATTCTCCTCTTCAAGGGGTGTTGGTCGGATAAAGCTTATAAACTTCACGCAAGGCAGACAACTCCAGATGGCGAATTCATACATAAAGAAGCTAAGGAAATCCTAAGTAGTGGGGCAACTACATGAAGAATTTCCACAGTCCTCAGAAAAATACGTCGACAATTTATCGGATGTAAAACTAAACGAAGTGGAAACCGAAGTTCTTTCTGTCAAATTCAAATATCACGCACCGAACACATTTACCAGCAGAATTGATACAGAAACGAAGTGTGAGTATTTATACGGTCAAGTATCTGACATGAAACCCATAGACAAGGATTAGAAGATCTGGTTTAAATCCAGCAGTGGTTGCTACCTCAGAAAAGTATCACATTTCTCCTCACTCACGGTTAAATTCGTTACCTAAAGAGTACATGCTAGCACTTAAAAAGCCTGCAGAACAATGATGTGATCGTGTAGTGTGATTGCTGAGCTTTTTTCTGAATTACTTATCTTCTCGGGGTCAAACATTTCAACCTTAGTTAAATTCTTGTGTTCCGACAATCTGATTACCCCCAATCTACTAGTTTGACCTATATAGTTAACCTCACTGTTATTGCAAGGTATTTTGTGAATTATATTATTTTGTTTTATTGGGTCCACTGGGTCTTTAGCCTACAGAGGTTGTCCTACCTGAGTCAGTTTGTAGGTTTGAATGTCACGCTAATTCCTGCTTTATTAAGAATCGTATGTAGGGTCTCCGATGTCCCCTCCTTATAAAGTATAACTGTAGATGCCTTATATTGTCTCTTATTTATGTTATCATTACTAGTTTCAGAATGATTTTTAATTTGCTTTTGGCCTCTTCCGATCTTCCTAATGAATTTTATTGGATAGTTATTTGATACCAACCAGCTCTGCTTCCATCTGTTTTATTTCATCATTTAGGTCTTTTCTTGTGCTACTTAATGCTACTGCTCGGTTTATTAAACGCTTAACTAAGCCTGCCTTAACAGTTAATGGATGAGATGAATTAAAATCGAAATATCCAATATTAGAATGCCTTGGTGTTTTATAAATGCTAGTGTGCAGTTCACCTTCTTATATTAGTTTTATTTTACAATCTAACATTAGAGCTAATTCTCCTTGTTCACTTTCGGATTTAAATGTGAATTTTATTGCCTCTACTAGTGAGTTTGTATGTGTCAAGATGCTGGATAGAGATATGTTCTGTTTTTAACACTGTGAAAGTGTTATCCACATATCTCCACCATATTTTTGGAGTAGGATTAAATGTTGTATTGAGATCAATATTCTCCCAGCTGTCCATAAATATATCTGCTACGATAGGGAATAGAGGCGTTCCACCCCATTGCTACACCTTCTGTTTCTCTATATATTTTGTCTTGGAATTTAAAGATAGTAGATATAAATTTCGTAGTGATGAATGTCTGTCTTGTCTTCCCCCCCCTTGGTTTTCACATCTTCATCCGTTCCGCCTGTTATTGAAAAGATGCAGCCTGAGTAAGTGAAGAACGTGACGTCTTCAAATTTCTCCCTGTGATAGTGATTGGTTCTGGTTGTTGTTGCTATTGACTGGTCATCTTTATCACCTCCATCTTCTCTGTGTTCATTTGAAGTTCTGTCTTCACTGCACTGCTTCTTCAGCCGGTTTTTTTTATTTTCGCCTGTAGGTGTTTGAATGCACATAAATCATCCGCGAAATCCAAATCTTCAGGAGTCCTGTAATCATTTCAGCGAGTTCCTGTCTTCTCGCTCCCTACCTAAGATGTTCCTCACGATCTAGTCCATCACAATTCGGAATATCATCAGCAATAGTAGTCAGTCTCGTCTTACTCCTTTATTAACTTCCAATATCTCACAATTGGAATAGTCTCTACCTTATTTCCTCTTTTGTTTGACAAATCATGATAAAATCGTTATAAATAATTGATCACTGTGACAATTGATTATCTACAAATTTCTTTTTCATTTGTTTCTGAAACAAAATTATAACTCTTTTCCATATGTCTTCACTTCCAATGTTGTTTTACAGGTTCATATTAGCCAGTTCTGTTCTACACGATAAAGATGTTCTTGGTGGACGAATAAATCAATATGTCGATGTGACTGAATTCACTGCACATCGATTAAGACTAGAATACACTCATGACTCTGTTGGTGGTAGTGGCAGCGGTGGCAGCGGCGGCAGCGCCAGCGGAAATATTGGCAGTTCATCATCGGTTCCAGATGTTCTCAATTTTGAATCACCTGCACGTTTGTTAACCATTGGTGAAATACCAACTAGACAGCCACATCACAGTCACATGCATTCAATTGACACAATTAAACGTGCCAAACCTTTACGTGTATGGCTTGTTGGACAACATCCTGGAAGTGTTAAAATTCATTTAGCTCCGATAGACAGAAGTTTAGTCAATTCATTTATTCCACCTGGATTAGCTAAACAACTAAAAGATCATATCGCGAATGATTTGAATGTACATCAATTTGAAGGGATTAGTAGTAATCAATCACAATATCATAGTTCATTGGCAAGAGGAGATCAAATGCTTAAAGAACCCAGTGTAACTATTCGAGTTACAGATGAAACAAGTATATGGCCAGTTGGAATATCTGCACAATTGGTAACAGGTTAGTTAGTTAGACATTTCACTAGTATTTTCGTTCACTGCTATTGTGTATTTTTAAGAACTGTTTGGATACTTTAAGGTGTTTCTGATTGGAAGACATTTAGCACAGTTATTTCGATTGGAGTCAATTGCTTCACACCAATGAAAAAGCATGTTCTAGACACAGATAATAGATCCTAGAATCATCCTTTATCTAACATGCAATAGGAAATTATTGAAATTAATTTGAGAAGATTAATAATTAAGAACTCAAAACAAGGGCTGGGGATAGCTGACACAATTGAGCTATGAAACCTGGGTAATTTATTATTGATTAGAATATCTCACAGATTTGAAGTATGATTGAGGATTGCGAAATCATGTACTGGTCAAACTGCAACTCTACGTATCATCATTATCATCGTCATCACTGAACAAAACGTCGGACGGCAGTAAAACCTCTATCTCAATTTCATCGACTTTGAGAAGGCCTTTGGTAGCGTTGATCAATAAGTAATTCGGAAACTACCATCCATAGGAAAGTCCAATTTGAACTAAATAATAAATTACATCCGGGCAATGAGGAAACAGGCATAAAATGGACTCACACAAAAAACTTGGAGGATCTTGACTTCGCCGATGATATATATTTCTGATTTCCCACAAACTGGAAGATATGCATGTGAAAAGCAACAAGTTGGCAGAAGAAGCATCCAGAGAAGATAGGACTTCAGGTAAACATACAGAAAACAGAGGTGATGAAGATTCCCGGGCAACACCACCAACAGCAACAACAACAACAGAAAACAATCAACATAAATGGAAGGAACCTGAAAAAAACAACCCCCTTTACCTACCTAGGAAGCATCGTTTCAACTACAGGTGGACGGAACTGACGAGGATATCAAAGCAAGAATAGGAAAAGCAAGACAAGCTTTCACTACTCTCAAGTCTATGTCGAGGTCAACAGCACTCAGAATCAAAAATAAGATCCGGATTTTCAACTCCAATGTGAAGTCAGTACCACTATACGGATCAGAGACTTGCACTGCGCATCATAAAGAGCATCTCAAACAAACTGCAGACCTTCATTAACAGTTGTCTTCGCTCAATACTCAAGATCAGATGGCCGGCCAGAAAAGATCAGCAACAGAGATCTCTGGCATTGAGCGAACCAACCAGGAACCGATTTTGAAACAAATAGGCAGGAAGAAATGGAGATGGATTGCACTGGCCATACTTTGAGGAAACCATCAAGTGACATCACTAGACAAGCCATTGCTCGACTGGAACTTGAAAGGGAAGAGGCGAGTTGGTCTTCAGAGCGAGGGTGACACGGAGGAAGTCATGTGAAGAGGAGATGAAAACGTGTAGGCAGACTTGGAGCCAGGTGAAGACTCTAGGAGAGAACCGAACGCAATGGATACGCACGGCTGAATTCCTATGTTCCTCTAGGAATTAAAGGAAACAATAATAATATTAATTACATCCGTGACAGAAAATGTGGCTCCTGCGACCCAATTGGTATAGTGAATAAGGCTTTGGCGTTTCAAAATATATACAGTGGGTTTAAGCCTCGGTGGAAACACCGTCACTCTCACTAAGGAATGCAGGTACATCCAGATAATGAATCCCAAACAGGACGAAATGCGCATTGTAATGGATTGCACTGCTAGTCACCATCAACCAATTGACTTCAGGTTACATGACCAGACATAGTCAAAGCATCTGCGTAAAGAGCCAACATGTCAACCTGAGACCGAGCACTTCAGTCCAAATAGTCGACGAGAAAATCTAAAATTGAAGTACACATTATTATTATTGTTTACAGGATTTCACCATGAACTGACATTAGTTAGAGAACCATTGAAGATCCAACAGGGAGTACTAAACAGCTATTTCGTCAGCCTAGTTTGGGACTCTTCAGCAATACTCACCTACCGGGGTTCGAACCTAGGACCTCCTGGTTACAAGGCGAGCTCGTAGACTATTAAACCACTGGGACCCGATCTAATGGCCCATGAATTCTAACTGGTGAAGAGTCCCAAACTGGTATGAAACAGCTGTCGAGCACTCCCAGGTTTTCCAATGGTTCTCTAACCAATTTCAGCTCATAATGAAATCTTATAACCAATCAACCTAATGTCTACAAACCAATACTTGAATTATTATTATTATTTGGTCCACAACGTCATCATCGTTGGGTAAACTTTTTATACATAAAGTCTGAACAGGATCTAATTGAAAACAGCAGTTTTGTTCTCTTATGTCTTGTTCTAATATTATTGATGGAAATATTTAAAAGATTTGAAATATACATTACCTATAAATCAATAGCTTATGCATGTATTTTACTTTCTTAATATGAAAAAGTCAGTATATGTCTCTTGAAGTCTCTAACTCCAAAATATCCTTTCATGACGTCCAACTAACAAGACGAGAACAAGATGGAACACTGAAAAGATCTATCTACAGAATGTCTACGTCGAACGGACAGCTTACTAACTTTCACAGTTGGATACACCAAACGAAACCTGATCCGTTGACTCAGCTACAGAGTTCGCGACATTTGCACCCCGGACACCGGACAATCTCAAGAGAATCCTCGTCCAGAATTGTTATCCAGAACGATTTATTGCAAAATCTATGAATCCTTGACCACAAAATCCGCCCATGCTTAGAGTCCCGAAAAAACTACTCTACATGAACCTTCAATTCAATGGAGATATATCTGCGGAAACTCTAAAAAATCGACTGTAGCGCTCACTTAAGAAGACCTTCTTCGCACCTGAACTACGACTAACCTTCTGCACAAAACCTATGATTCGTATGAACGTGAAGGATAAGCTACCACTACTGGCCTCATCAATGTGTATTTATCAATTCACCTGACTGTGTGGAACCAGGTATGTCGGCCGTACCGGTTTACCAAACGTATCAATGAACACTTACCGACATGGTTTTGCAAAGGAGAAAATCGATGCCCCCGCAGCTCCATGTTAGAACATCTGATAGAATCCGGACACCAAGCTACACCACAAACAAACCTCAAAGTCGTCTACACAGTAAGAAGTAGTCTTCCTAAAGGTGTACGAATCAGACTTTTTCAAACTGCAGAAGCAATGGCGACTAACTTGCTAAGTCCTGAACTCTGCATACAGAAGAAGTTCGTTCAATCACTGCACTTGTAATGGATGTAATCTATCTTATAACCCGACAAGTAAATTCTACCTAATCTTTTTTTGTTTTCTGTCTCTTCATTAGCATTATTTTGTCTTCTCAATTGTAATATTTTACATTTTCAACCTTCTTGTTTTCTACCCCCACCCGATTTAATTTCTACACCTCACTACCACTGTTACTGACTTGACCAACGCTCAATTTCTAGTCATTTATATTACGTCACCCAACTTATTTGCTCTATTTCAGTTCTAATTTAATGGCATTATTCTCTACCGTAATTCTACTTTGTCTCTACCTGTAGTTACCTCTGCTGCTATCCTAAGTTGAGACATTTTAGTGAATTATATTACGTCATCTAACTAACTAAATAACTCAATATTGCTTTAGTTGCTGTCTAATTAACCCTCTTTCTATATTAGATCATTCTTGTATTACCTGATCAATTATCTAAAGTTGACAAACCTCCGGAATCTATCAGATGTTCTAAGATGGAGCTGCGAGAGCATCGTTTTTCTCCTTCGTAAACCACGTTGGTAAGTTTTCAGTGATATGTTTGGAAAGCGAATGCTGAGTACAGCCGACATACCTGGCTCCACACGAGCAGGTGAATTGGTAGATACACACTGATGAGGCCAGTAGTGGTAGCCTATCCTTCACTTTCATACGAATCATAGGTTTCGTGCAGAGGGTTAATCGTAGTTCAGCTGCGAAGAAGGTTTTCTTAAGTGATTGGGATAGCCATTCTAGTATTACCTGACTAATTATCTAAACTTAACAAACCTCATGTACACACACAAATAATTATACATAAATTCGATTGTACAGCGATGTGAATGAATTCGCCGAAAGAAGTCTATTTGCTGAACGTCTTTTTCATTGCTATATATCTTGATACTCAATTTCTATTACTTAATCAATATGCTTAAAAGATACGTCTTTCTTGTTTTTTGTAAACAGATTTCTCTGTGCTGATTAGTCATCCATCTGGTGTAGATGATACACGTCAACGAGGTGGCCCACCATCTCCATTTTCAAATAATAATATTAACGAAAATAGTAATAGTAATAATAATAATCATTTATTTGGTGCAACATCCACTGAACGTATGCCTGTTCTATCTGGTGTCTATTCAATTCATATTCAACTGAAAGGCAGTAAATTAACTCATAGTGGATCAATTAATTCTGAATTTAATAATCAAGAAAGAGGTGTGCATTCGTCACAGCAAACAATTTCAACAACACTCTCTAGTGAGTATCTGAATCAAAGTGATAAAGTCAGATATCCTCATCGTCATCCTCAGGAGAGTAGACAAATGAATTCAGTTGGATTTCTTATTGTCTGGATACACTTATCAGATGGTTCATCAGTTTTGTGGAATAGAATGGCTGAGGTAAGTAGTCAGTTAAATATTCTGCCAATATTTACGTATATAAGTTACAGCCTCTTCATACCGAGTCGGTGAAACACAGTGTAAATGATACTTTTGGATTTGTTGAAAGGATAAAATAGTTATTATTATTGTTTCCTTTAATTCCTAGTGGCTTCAGCTGTGCGTCTCCATTGCGTTCGGTTCTCTACTAGAGTCTTCACCTGGCTCCAAGTCTGCCCACATGTTCTCATCTCCTCTTCACATCACCATCTCCTCCAAGTCACCCTTGGACGACCAACTCACCGCTTCCCATTCGGGTTCCACTCAAGGGCTTGTCTAGTGATGTCACTTGATGGTTTCCTCAGAGTACGGTTAATCCATCTCCATTTCTTCCTGCATATTTGCTTCACAATCGGTTCTTGGTTGGTTCGCTCCCAGAGATCCCTGTTGCTGATCTTTTCTGGCCGGCCATCTGATCTTGAGTATTGAGTGAAGACAGCTGTTAATGAAGGTCTGTAGTTTGTTTGAGATGCTCTTTATGATGCGCAGTGCAAGTCTCTGATCCGTATAGTGGTACTGACTTCACATTGGATTTGAAAATCCGGATCTTAGTTTTCATGCTGAGTAGTGCTGTTGACCTCCACACAGACTTCAGAGTAGTGAAAGATTGTCCGATTCTTGCTTTGATGTACCCGTCAGTTCCGCCTGATACTGTATATAAGGACAAATATTTCTCTGTCTTGCTTACTGAAGGTGATGCCCCCTCATGATGTTGTTCTATTTCCTCTTCTTTTTTCTTCTCTTCCACATAACTTACCTCTTTCGTTAAATATACAGGTGATCTGACTGCATCGTTACCAGATACTTCCAGCATGGATATCGGTAGCCCAGATTTTGCAGGCCGACCATAGATATCAGGTGTGCGTCGGCGGGGGATCGAACCCCGGACCATATGCATGGTCGGCGAGAGTCCTAACCACTGTGCTTTTGTTGGACATCAACCATTGGTCTGAGATAAATGATCTTACGTTAAATCTCTTCAGTGTATGTACATCACTAAAATCCACTGGAACGTTCACACACACACACAAAAGGTTACATGGCTCGCCTAAAGTGCATAAACATGGTGTAAAACTTCGACCAGTATTAGATATGTTAAATTCACCATAACATACCATACATACCGAGCTGGTGAAACACAGCATATAGGATACTTTTGGATTTGTTGAAACGATAAAAGATTTAAATGTTGACAATAAATTCATGATATCATTTGATGTATCTTCCTTATTCACCAATGTACCACTTATGGAAACAGTGGAATTTGTATGCCAAGAACTGATAAGACGAAACATCGATGTTGGAATTCTTATATCTTTTATGAAAGAGCTTCTTTTGATATGCACAATGAATGTCCACTTTTTATTTAATAAGGACGTTTAGAGAAAAATCGATGGTGTGGCAATAGGGTCATCACTAGGACCCATTCTAGCCGACATTTTCCTTGAAAAACTAGAAAATGGACCTTTGAAGGATGTTATTAACGAGGTTCATCCTGCATTAAATTTTACTATTGAGAAAGAAAAACACTCTAGTATTTCATTCCTAGACGTCCTTATTACCAGAAAAGAGGATAGCACAATAAGAAGAGGTGTATACAGAAAACCTACATCAGCGTGTCAGTATACTTATTTTTTCAGCTTTGTGCCCTTGAGATACAAACGCAATCTGATAAAGTGTTTGGTTCATAGAGCAAGAGCGATCTGCTCGGATGAATGTCTTGATGAGGAACTTGATAATATTAAACGGTTGCTGAGTGAAAATGGTTATCCAGAAAAGTTTATTGGTAAGAAAATGAATCTAAAATCAAGGCAGCTCAAAGTACAAACATTACTAAAAAGGCCTTATTGTTACAAATGCAGTTCCTTGCGGACAACATCAGCGAGATACTAACACAACGCCTTAAAAATGCGGTAAAAAGAGCATTCATTGCTACCGAATTACTCTGTGTCTTCAAAACCACCCACCCCTGTTTTGCGTCCGGGATTAAAAGATAAACTGCCTAATTTCACCTCTTCCATGTGTATATACCAATTTAACTGCTCCTGTGGAGTGAACCAGTTACACAGGCCGCACAATTAGGCGTGTTTCTCGTCAAATTTCCGAACATCACCCTGTGTGGTTAAATAAAAGACAAACCAAATCTATTCAAAGCGCTATTCTATTTCATCCTGTGGATATAGAACACAAGATTGAGGTTAACCAAACTTTCAGGGTCATTTACCGCATACCAACAAATCTCAATTCCGCCTAAAGAGTTCGACTACTGAATACTGCTAAGGCTGTTGGGATCCATATTAATTAAGAAGCCTAATTTGTGCTTCCTTACGCGCTTGGCCATCTAGGTTTGAATGATCTTCAATTTTTGTAGAAATTTACCTAATTTTAGTTGATATTCTATTTGCTACTATATCTTTGTTATTATTATAATTTAAGCATCTTTAATGAACTGTGGTAATTCCATTGTGATCTTACTTTACAAATCGGTATTATTTAAAAAACACTAATATTGTTATTGACTACTATTCTAGCATATTTTGTGTATATAAGCATATATATATATAATTGTAGAGCCAAATGGGGAGGAAATTATCGAAAAGGATATTCTTTGCTCAATCATTTTGTGTTTCTTAGATGTGTGAATGAATGTTTTTACTATATATTGATCAGTTGATTATGAGATCATTTAATGTTAGAATTCTGAAAGATATTCATTTTGTGATTGATAATTTAAAGGTGTAAAACAATGACTAACGTCTATGAATCTAGTCCTGAACATGAAGAAGAAACATAAAAGTTAGTTATCGTAATTGCCAACTGTAGAGTAAGTTGCCAAGTGTATCATGCTTTAAGATACATGTTGAAAACCTCAGATTCAATTCTTACCATCATGTGATCCTGCAAAAATGAACTGGTGCTTTTGAAGCAAGAAATACTTTTACGCTTTTAGAGCACATGTGAAAAACACTGGAGGTTTTAATCAGGATGCACATAGAAGAAAGGGAAAGTATCAAATTGTGTAACAGTGAGTTCTTAGGAAATACTTAGAGAACAGTGATATAAGAATAAAACTTGGGCACTGTGGTAGAGTGTAATTCCATTATGGGTAAATTTTATTTTGATAGAGTCTCACAGTGTTATACAGTAATATTTACTGATGACGTTTCGAGCACAATTTATTGCTCATAATCATATCAAGGTAATCACACGACTTCCTAAATTCATTTATATAGTTCCATTATTTTTCACTTGATTTCCACTTGATTTGATTGGTAGTGTAATACCCGAAATATGGAAAATAACACTACCAATCAAATCAAGTGGAAATCAAGTGAAAAATAATGGAACTATATAAATGAATTTAGGAAGTCGTGTGATTACCTTGATATGATTATGAGCAATAAATTGTGCTCGAAACGTCATCAGTAAATATTACTGTATAACACTGTGAGACTCTATCAAAATAAAATTTACCCATAATGGAACTTAGAGAACAGATAAACAGAAATGAAGTTGGTAGAAAGCAACAAGTTTGTTGCCATGATAGTAGCAGTGGTTGAATGGTTTTCTTTTGTATGCATAACTCTCATTTTTCTAACTGAATGGCCAAGTTTTCAGCAATACAAAAGAGACGAAAGCCTATCGCTTTTGGTAGATTATTCTTCACTTTGTAGATTACTTTGAAGGAGGAGGCGTTTGTCGACAATGAATGAATGACCATTGTTGTTGACAAGGTGTTCTGTTATCCCACTCCTTATACGGCCATTACTACTATCTTTCTGCAGCCTTGGAGAGTAGTCTGTTTTCGAACTCTTTTAGACGGGATACGCATTAAACGACTAATGTGCCTGACTGGCTCCACAGTGGCAGGTGAACCGTTATATATGGAGCTAAGAAGGGAAAATCAATTCTCTGAAAACAGCCCCTTCGTCGAACTACGTGTTTTGTTTTCATCAGTCAAATTTCTCACATTTTCTAATCAACAAACAAATCTCCGAAAGTATCCTTTGAACACATTATTGACTAACCAGCCATCAGTACTTATAGCCTTGTAGAACCAAAGGAAGATAAATTTTTTAAAACTTAGAAAAAGGTACTCATAAAGGATACTGTTTCAAATATTTCTGTGGTATATGAAAAAAAGTTCAACACAGTTGTCTTTTCCCTCTTTTTAGTAGAGAACTTCTATCTTGACTTATAAAACTTCCTACAGAAGGCGAGAGAGAGAGAGAGGAAGTCAGAGTATGATTAAATTAATCTACTTTATAATAAGATTTTGTTATCTTCCTACATTCTATAGAAATGAATTCAGTTCAGTTCAATTCAATTCTATTCTATTCAATTGAATTAACTAACTCGATCAATATTATTATTATTATGTTAACAAGAAAGACTGAAAGACAGCCAATCAGATTACGATTTGATAGCTAAAATGAGAATTAGTTTTGGGATTGAAGAGTAAAGAAAAGTTCTAAATGGTAGGAAGAAAAACAAAACTAAGCATTATTTATTTACTGACTTACTTTAAGTTTCTCTCGTAGGAGCAGATATTTAAATAAATCATTTTTTTATTAGCCCGAAATTTATCTATCATTGTGGATAGATACTGGTGGTTCATTGATATTTGATTCTGCAGCTAAATTTATGCTGTTAGCGTTGTGTGTTTCGGAAATGGGAACGCCAAGTTGAACATAGACGCTCTATTCAAGATTATGCAAAAGCCACCTGTTTCCCCAGCCCGAGAGAACAGAAAACGACATGAGCCGCATTGTGAATTTCATGCAATAGTTCACGCAACCATTCGAAATATCACTAAAGAAATTTCAATTAGTCTGTAATCATGATCAATAAAATATTAGGCATTATTTTACGTCGGTCAATGCTGATTGGTTTATTTCTAGACTGGACATCAAGAACTTATGTGGGCCGAATTGTGATTGGCTAAATTTTTTGGACTGGACATCGATCACCATTTCACCAATTATAGGATAATCCATTGTTTTGACTATCTACACATGAGTTAGTTAGATATATTCTAGGGGGTTTTGAGAGTCCGGTGGTGAATTCATTACGGTGGAATGAACAGTTGGTCTCAATTTTGTAAGAGTAAATTATGGATTAAGGACGTAGTAATAACAAAATATTTTGGAATTATATGACATTTAACTAGAAAATGATGAAACGATGGTTAGTTTTGATATAACTAGTCTTTATACTAATATACCAGTCAATATGGCCTTAGAAGCAGTTAAAAAAGAACTAACTGCGGATCATGAACTCAGTCATAGGACAAAGTTGCCCACTGAAGAAATTATTTTAGGGATTCAGTTATGCCGCACATCTACTATCTTTAAATTCTAAGGCAAAATATGTAGACAAAAAGAAGGCGTAGCAATGGGATCACCAATATTTCCCATCGTAGCAGACATATTCATGGACAGTTGGGAAAATGTTGCTCTAAATGCATTTAATTCTACTCCAAAAATATGGTGGAGATATGTGGATGATACTTTCACACACAGTGTTGAAAACAGAACATATCTCTCTCTAGCTTCTTGACACACTCACATGAACTCACTAGTAGAGGAAATAAATTTCATATCTGAATCGGAAAATGAACAAGGAGAATTAGCTCTAGTGCTAGATTGCAAAATAAAACGAATAGAAGAAGGTAAACTCCATACTAGTGTTTATAGAAAACCAACGTATTCTAATAGATATTTAGATTTCAATTCGTCTCATCCTTTAACTGTTAAGGCAAGCTTAGTTAAGTGTCTAACAAACCGAGCCATAGCACTAAGTAGCACAAAAAAAGACCTAAATGACGAAATAAAACAGATAGAAGAATAAGCGTTGATGTTGAATAACTATCCTATAAAATTCATTACGAAGATCGAAAAAGGCCATAAGGGCAAAATAAAAATAATGGTAAAACTAGTAATGATAATATAAATAAGAGAGAATATAAGGCGTCTACAGTTATACCATCTGAGACTCTACGTAAGATTCCTAATAAAGCAGGAATTGAGGTGGCATTCGAACCTACAATCTCACTCAGGTAGGACAAGCTCTGTAGGCTAAAACACCCTGTTGGTTGACCCAATTAGACAAAATAATATAGTTTACGAAATACCCTGCAATAACAAAATAGGTTGAGAAGTTCTGACATTTATAAAAATAAAAATCAGCAACCAAATCTATTAATGCAGATAGGAATTAAAAATGTAAAAATTACAGAAATACACAGGAAGGTTGGATAAGAAAGGTGGTGGCGGTGACTTTTCATGGTGCCCAATTTACGGACAACGGTTGGACGTATTTCTTTTGAGCACATAAATTGGACTTGCATTTTTAATTAATTAGCCATTAATTAATTAGAGTTATCCGATGAATTTATGAAGCGACATAGATAGAGGTGAATAGGACTCATTTTGAAAACACCGAGTTGTCGATTTCCTTGACGGGAAATCTTAGCTAACATAGCATAAGGTTGGAAAACTGTTATGGATGGTCAGTTCATGGAGTCTTCAAAAGTTAGTCTAAGCAAGCCTCATAGGAATGTGTGTCTAAGCTGCCTGGCTGGAGTCGTCCTAGATGCCAATAACCAATGGCTGAAGACTGTTAATATAACAGCTCAAAATCGCTGTCAGTGATGTATATTCATTTCACCCTTTGGGTTCTCTTATATCTATCCACTAAATTGTCGCATTTTTCCATGTACCTGTTCTTTTCTCCTTAAGTTTCCTCTCAGTTGAGGTCTTCTGAATCTCTTTTTCTTCTCTCTACCTTTGTGTGCTACATGGAATGTTGGGACTTGAACTGCTCCTCTTGTGAGTAAAACTCTACACTGAAACTCAGTCACGTCGTCAGTACTCTTCGCAGATTACAAATAGGTCCATTTTTTTAATAATAAGCGTGTTAAAACCTTCACGACATCACTGAACTAAGCTCAAATTTAAAACATTCTATATATTTTAGATTTATGAACAACTTTACGGAAAAGATAAGATCCCATTGAATCTATCGATAAGAAATTATCGTCCTGATTTATTCTGGATTGAAACAAATTCAGCTGGTGTAGTGGAAAGAAAACTTCGATCGGCTAGAAGATCACGATTCTCGTCAACAGTGACACACGGCAGGCAGGATAATTCTCATTTATCCGGTTTACGATTATTTAGAAAGTCTCGATCGGTGCGGATGAAACCTCATCTGACTGCTTCAGTTGATCCTTCATCGTCGTCTTTGAATCAGCTGGCATATGGAAGTCTGTTAGAAAAAGATTTATCAACAGGGATGAATACAAGCAGTTATTGGTCTGGACCAGTTGTTTGGTTTCTTCACAAGGGATTGAAGTTTTCTGGTAAGTAGGATGTTTTTCCTTTAATTTCAATAGTATAAAGCATATTTTTGGTTATTTAGGGGTTTTTATCTCTCCAGAATTTTACGTAAATGGTTAAAAGCATACCCATATTTCCATCAGACACTGAATCTTTTTAGGTGAACTGGAAAAAAACATACATCGTGGTAACGATTTCTAGGGATATGAATTCCAGTTGAATTTTATATCCCTAATGTCATTGTATTAAAAAGCTTTGGTGACTGGAAACCACGGAAATTCATTTTTATACACTACAGGTTTTGATTTATGTGTTTGGTAAACCTAATTCTCCGCCTTGATGTCTAAATGCAATGTACGTATACATAGGTAGATATTTTCTTATTCAATGCGCTCAGGTGATAAAACAAGTATGAAGGCGCAGTTGTTTGACCGTATTATGAATGTTCTTAACATGAAGAGTCAGCTCACTTAATCAAAAAAACATAAAATTCAAAGTAGTTAATTTTAAGGGTAGTGTTCAATCAGTTCGTTTTTTTCAAGGATTTTCGAATCTTCGATCAATACTAAAATTCTCGACTTACAGAAACTAAAACACAGTTTTATTATTATTATTGTTCCTTTGGGTTCCTAGTGGAACAAAGGGCTTCAACTGCACATCTCCACTTGCTTCTGTCTTCTGCTGTACTTTTCACCTGCATCCATGTTAGTCCACACTGATACAAACTCCTCTTCACACGATCGCCTCCATGTCACTCTTGGACGTCCCACTCGCCACTTCCCTTTCGGGTTCCACTCGAGCACTGGCCTGACTCGCGATGTCACCCAACGGCCTCCTCAGCGAGTGTCCAATCAATTTCCACTTTCTCCTACATATTAGTTGGGCGATTGGTTCTTGTTTTTTTTGTTCCCATAGTTTCTTGTTGGTATAGAACGAAGAAAGCTGTTGATAAAGATCTGCAACCTGTTGGAAATATTCTTTGTGACCCGCCAAGTTTCTGATCCGTATAGCAAAACTGACTGACTTGACGTTTGTATTGAAAATCCGAATTTTGTTGTTGATACTGAGTGACGAAGATTTCCAGATTGGTTTCAGGTTGATGAATGTGTTTCTCGCCTTCTAGATTCTCGATTTGAATAAACTAAATGAATACGGAAAATGTCAGTGATTGAAATTTGGCTTAGTCCACATTTTTTTGACCAGTTGGACCACGGATTTATATCATTTAGAGAACCACTGAAAACCAGCAGGGAGTACTGGACAGCCAGCTGTTTCATAATGGATAAGATTTTATTTTGATAAATCACACAGTATGTTGTACAGTTATATTAACTGATGACGTTTCGAGCACAAACTATTGCTCATAATCATATCACCATAATGAGTGTATCATCTACATAACGTTTATATAGCATAAATTCTCCAAGCATACCCTGCATTTGTTTCTACAATTTCGACATGAATATTTCTGCTAACAGGGGCCCAAGATGGCTCCCCATCGCAACACCATCGATTTGTTTGTATGCCTTTTCTTCGAAGGTGAATCTAATATTTTCTGTACACATTAAGATGATGTCTCTGATGTAAGCGACAGGAATAGGTAAGTTTATCCAATTGCTTATAATGTAATCGCAAATGAAATCAACAGTTTCATGAAGAGAAACATTAGTGAATAAAGATTCTACGTCAGTTGAACACATAGCCTTTTCTCTAATGTTCAAGGTGTCTAGCATATCTGTCAGATCAAATGAACTTTTAACAGAATGATTTGGTAAAGAGTCTCTTACAGGCGTAAGGACCTCTGTAATCCATTTTGCGATTTTATGGTATGGAGAATTCGACATGTCTAAGATGGGTCTCAGTGGGTTCTTCGGAAGGCCATAAAGCTGGGGAGTATGTGACCCAATTACTTTAAGTTGTTTATAAAGTTTTTCATTTATAAAACTATGCATCAGTAAAATCTGAAGCTGACGATTGATCTGCTTTTCCACAAGCAGCACATTATCAGTAATGTTTCATAACATGGTTAGAAATGTGGTAACATAGAATTAACATTGCAAAACAAAATTGATTTAGAATGACAAGTGGAACAAGTGAAATAATAATGGGAGCAGTTCAGAGTGAGAATTGTAATAGCAACAATTTACGTAATAAGAGAAGAATATACAAATTCAATAAACAAAACAAAAAATTATTAGAGCCGAACTATGACTGGGGATTATCATACATTAGCATAAGAGTTGGAGGGGTTCAGCTAACGTTTTCTGTACAATACTGATGGGTCGTGTATGTAATGTTTTGGGCAAGTTATCCTTCATCTTTGAGATGATTTTCAAGGGATAGTCTGTGGAGAGAGGGTGACTGTTATCAACCAGACGTTCAAAGAAAAAACTCTTCTTATAGCCCAACTTCCACCTCTTTGTAACGACGTGGGATAGTGTTCTTGTAAAACCTCTTGGACAAAACCCGAACCGAACGACCAATATACCCAGCTCCATACGAACAGGTGAATTGATATAAGCACATATACTGTTGGTCAATTATAGGATCTTGTCCTTCAGGTTAATGAACAGCAATGGTCGACTGAAAAACGCTATTCGTAACGATGCTGCAGGGAGGTTCTTTTTCAGAAACTATGAGATCCTTCTTTAAAGGATATCTCCACGTTCATGTACAGCATTTTCTTGGTTACTGAAGTAAAGTCATATTTCATAGGTCTATAAAACATGGCGTAAATCTATTTTACACTAGGGTTTTCTTAGAAGACTCCACTCTTCCTCTCAAGAATCAGGATTACACATTCGTCGAATCAAATGATTACATACTATCAGTTATTATTATTTCATGTATTCACACCTCTGTTTCAATTTCCCTACGGGATATAATTTCATGAAAAGAGTCCCTCGTTTAAATGACTTATTTGAATAAGGAATTTAGAAGACAAATTTCGCGAGATGATATCATTTCGTAGATTCTGTACAACCGCTTTACAACTAACATGGTTAACAGTAATAAAATAAAGTTCATGACAATTACTCAGTTAAATAAAAACACAAAAGTACACACTAATGACCAATCATATTCAGATAGGTCATGTAGTCCAGGGTAGGCGAAGATTGAAGTCTATTGTTCTGTTTTGTGCACATAGTTTAGACTGTATGTCATTAATCCAAAGTGCTTCCATCACCTACAATAACCTTGAATTAGAGTTATGCGATGAAATAATTGTAAAACAGTCATTAATATTCATTTTGTGACCTGACATCCCTGGACCTACGATTAAAGGATGAAATTCTGTGGACTCTACTTCAAACTGTATCTACAAGTTCACCTGCAGCTGCAGTGACACCTATATAGGTAGAACCAACAGAATGTTCCAATGTCGTCGAAAAGAATATGTTCCAAAATGACTACTAAATCATATAGAAAATCCGAATACAATTAGTCTGAATAGAAACCCAGCATCATCCATTGCAAAGCACTTATTAATATCAGGTCACAAAATCAATCAATATTAATGACTGTTTTTGCAATTATTTCGTCGCATAACTCTAATTCAAGGTTATTGAAGGTGATGAAAGCACTTTGGGGGATTAATCACATACAGACTTAACTGTGTGTACAAGAAACAATAGACATCAATCTTCGCTTACAATGGACTACATGATCTATCTAAATATGATTGGCCATCAGTATGTACTTTTGTGTTTTTATTTAACTGAGTAATTGTCATGAACTTTATTTTATAATTGTTAACCAAGTTAGTTGTAAAGCGGTTGTAAAGAAACTACGAAATGATGATATCCTCTCGCGAAATCTGTCTTCTGAATGCCTTATTCAAATTTATTAAAGGAATTGATTGTTTTAGATGACTTATTTCGACTTTCAAACAGTTATTACTTTCATAGAGGGTAATACCAGCATGCTTTATTTCTGATAAGATTATTATTTAATTTTAGTTTAACTTTTATAACGGAAGGTGACAAGAATCTTAGATTTCGATGTCTCTACATAGAGGAATTATGAAAACCTTATCTGAAAATCGTCATTTGCACAGATCCTCCATGCTGTGTCACTTCAACCCAGCACATTCTGTTTCTTTGTCTCCTTTCGTGTCTCCAGTAACTTGTCACAATACAGTGGTTCATTTCCTCTCTGTGACGTCGACCTATCCATCCATCTATCTGTCTATATCTTTGCTTATTGATATTTTTATGCCGATGAACGTCTTTTTACATAAACTACTGATAAATCTTGTCAGTAGTACACACTACACTTGTACTTATGACTATTATATACAGAAGACATTTTTGTCTTTCTGAAGTCATAAGAAAACGTATACTCATTCGTCTTTATGCTTAATAAACATGCTTATATATATATATATATATATATTATGCTATAGGCAGTGAAGAGTGTACATAAACATAGGACACGTAGACCTCCTATCCGAGGGACGTGATAAATAACATTGTTTTTGTCTAGTTGTTATTATATAAAAGTGTGAGTGAAGACAAAGGGAGATTGATTACTGTATAAGAGCAATAAATCTAATAATAATAATAATAAATCTAGACAGACTTTCCTCTTCATTCCCTAGACGAAAATAAGACAAACAATAATAAGAAGAAGAAGAATAAATAAACCGTATGAGTTTTGTTTTATGTAAACCAAACCATTAAGATTTATGCTTCTGGTGAGAACAATCAAAAAGTAATCTGATTTAGATGCGCCTCCTTTGAATGGATTAAGAGGGAAAACTGATTTGGAAGATAAGGAAGTGTAATTGCTTAAGAGAATAAGTTCTGTTTGACAAACACAGAGTGATTGCATGGAGGATTTCATCATGAGCTGACATCAGTTAGAGAACCATTGGAAAACTTGGGACTACTGGACAGCTGTTCCGTCCTAGTGTTTGAGACACTTCGTCAGTAGGAACCCACCGGAATTCGAACCCAGGACCTTCTGGTTACAGGGCGAGGTCTTAGACCATTGAGCCACTGGGACCCGGTGGATGCGTACTGATCAAGAGCCCCAAACTAGGACGAAACAGCTGTCCAGTACTCCCAGGTTTTCCAGTGGTTCTCTAACTGATGTCAGCTCATGACGAAATCATCCATGCAATCAAAGAAAATCCCTACAAAAGTAATACTTGAAAACACAGTGTTTCAAAAACTTGAAGACTTACAGGCGAAAGCCGACAAACTAGCTGAAGACGCATTGCAGCAAAGGCAGAATTTCAAGTGAAGATGGAGGTGATGAAAATAATCAATCAAACAATCAGTTATATCCAACATCCAGCATAAAACTCTTTCAGTTGGAGACACTTGAAAAGAGATCACTTCTTCCAACTTTCCACTTTCACTTTCTCTGATAACTAAGCAACTAAGAGACGATTGTTCAACAAATATGTAGGAGAGAATGGAAATAAATAGGACATTCTCCACTGAGGAGGCCATCAAATGACATAGCACGCAATGCTGGCCATCACTCGAGTGCAATCCTACTGCGAAGCGACGAGTGCTTCGCCCGTTAGAGCCTGCTGAAAAGTACAGCAGAAAATAGCACAAAGTGGAGACGTGTTATTGAAACCCTACGTTCTACTCAGAATTCGAGAGAATAATAGCAACCTCTCAACCTATCTAGGCGGTGTCGTTTCAACTACAAGATGTCAAAACCAGAACCTGAAAGGAAAGGCTAAACAGACCTTATTCACCCTGAAATCAGGGTAAAAATCATCTGCTCATCTTAGTTCAGTTCAAATAATAACCCAGTCAATTCTGTATTGATTGGAAACTTGGTGCAAACTTTCTTCAATAGCTGCCTTCAGTGGCTCTATATTGAAGATTAAATCGCCAGCGAGAAGGTTAAGCTTTGTTATCGTCTTTCCCATGACCCTGATTCCGGAAGTAACACTGACGTAAAATGTTGTTTACAATTTTGGCTTGTTTGCAGCCAACTTTCACCACACAAGTAATTAACAAGTGCTATCCGGCAATGAAATTCACTCTGGAAATAGTAAATGAATACAAAATTCCTTTTCTTAAAGTGGAACTAACAAGACGGACGATCCGATGGAACCCAGTGGTGGCATTTAATGTTGTTGTGTACGGCTAAGGTTGGTGTTTTAATATTCTTTCAGGCTTTTAGTGTTGTATGAATATTAATTTTCTGTATTCTGTTTATATTCTCTAAAAAAATCATAAACAGGTGATATTCTGGAAGTTGGATTAACGTCACCAAGTGGAAATATCTTAGTTCCCCATGTTCGTATTCATGCAGATATAGTTACATCGAACAATGGTATATCTATGAATGATTATATTATAAAAAGTAAAGATACAAATAGAATTGATCCTAAACTTTTACAGGTAAGTTGAAGCAAATCAGTTTTCCTTATGTTTGTATTTTTTTGTGGCCTCTGGTTACCTTGATGAATAAATCAACATGTGCTTAACTTTCTTTATTATGGCGTTTGGAAAGTGTAGGTCTTTGGCTAATTACTAGTTTCACGCTCCCAACCCTCCTCCTTATTTACTCTGCTAACAACTGGTTAAGTGAGAATTAGGAATGCGTCAGTGACTGGGGATCGAAACCCAAATCATATGAGGGCTGACTGGAGAGCAGTCCACCGCTGAACCACCAATGTAATCAGCGAAGGCAAATCTTACATTTTCAAATGCTTTCCTTCTAAGTTAGTATCTATCATTCGACCAATAAGCTAATTTTGGATAGCGCTAAGAGTTTTTTGAATAATGTTGAATCCTTCGCAATTTCGTGTGTTATCTTTGCACAAGCGCCATGCTGATCTTCTCATTATCGTTCAAGTTTTAGTGTGTACGCTGTCAAGGTGTCAATGATTCAAAGGTAGCGTGAGAAAGAAAGTTATGAGACTTGGTATTATTATTTCCTTCAATTCCTAGAGGAACATAGGGCTTGAGCCGCGCGTCTCCATTGCGTTCGGTTCTCTGCAAACGTTTTCTTCTGGCTCCAAGTCTGCCTAAATGATTTCATCTCCTCTTCACATGACCTCCTCCAAGTCACCCTTGCACTGACAACCAACTCGCCGCTTACCTTTCGGGTTTCACTCGAGCAATGGCTTGTCTAGTGATGTCACTTGGTGGTTTCCTCAGAGTATGGCCTATGCAATCCACCCCCATTTCTTCCTGCCTATTTCTTTCACAATCGGTTCCTGGTTGGTTCACTCCCAAAGTTCCCTGTTGCTGATCATTTCTGGCCATCTGATCTTGAGTATTGAGCGAAGACAACTGTTAATGAAGGTCTGTAGTTTGTTTGAGGTGCTCTTTATGACGCGCAGTGCAAGTCTCTGATCCGTATAGCGAGTAGCACTGACTTCACATTGGAGTTGAAAATCCGGATCTTATTTTTGGTGCTGAGTGTTGTTGACCTCCACACAGACTTGACAGTAGTGAAAGCTTGTCTTGCTTTTCCGATTCTTGCTTTGATATCCTCGTCAGTTCCCTCCGCCTGTAGTTGAAAAGATGCTTCCCAGGTAGGTAGGTGGCAAAGGAGGTTGTTTCTTTCACATTCCTTCCATTTATGCTGATCGTTGTCTGTTGTTGTTGTTGCTGTTGGTGTTGGCCAGGAATATTTATCACCTCTGTTTTCTGTTTGTTGACCTGAACTGCTATATTCGATGCTTCTTGGGACTTGGTAACACACCATTTATTAAGGACAAACACGTCATATTTATGCATTCTTATTCAAATTAAAACTCAGCGAAGTCAGAGAAGAATAAACTGTTCTGATTGGTCGACAACTGACTCAAGGTTAAACAAGTTGTCCAATGAGAGTGTTTTATGTCCACAACGTAAATACACGTAAAACACTTTTACCACTGCGGAAATTCACTTAAGATGTTCAAATCAATTACTGACCTTCATTATAAATTATTTAAATTGATCCCAGCGTGTTAACAAAATCAAAACAAGATTTTTCTGAACGTTTCACTGTGTAAGCCACAGCTTCTTCAGCAGATTACACAGCGAAACGTTCAGAAAAATCTTGTTTTGATTTTCTTAACACGCTGGGATTAATTTAAATAATTTATAATGAATCAATCTGACTCGGCGCTCAAATTATTTCAGGAAGTTCGTAACACCTACGGCCTAGAAACCTATAATTACTGACCTTGTTCTTATCAATCTGCATCATGCTACAGTAGAATACTAGCAAACCGCGCACATAGTACCTGTCGATCTCACTGCGTAAAAATTCTCCTGCTTCTGAAACTCCTATAGCTTGAGGCCTTATCCGCCATTTTTCGGACGGAAGGCGCTTTCGAGAATTTTGGAATCAAAATTTATCATACAAAAGAAATGTGTTACCGATATTTGTTAGCAGTCTGTTTGTGAGATTAATAAACCCCTTCAGAATGAGTGTTTGTTAAGTTTTTCATTTAGAAAGGACTACATAGCATGAAGCTGACTACATCAAAGTTCAACTATGTGTCAATAGTGCGTCGGTAGCATAGCGGTTAGGACGCTCGCCGACCATGCACATGGTCCGGAGTTCGATTCCCGGCCACCGACACACTCCTTTACCTTGCTAAGCCAGAAATAATACTGACGAAGAGGAAAGGTTGGGCATGAGGCTAGCAACCCCATCCTGTAAAATAAACACTGCTACAGAAACCTCAAGCCACTAGCTTGAAGCCCTATTTTCCACTGGGGAACGTGAAGGACAAAAATGGATGGAGAATTCAAACAAGTTCATTTCATACTAAAACTTGTACTGAAGAAGGACAGCGAAAGATTCACAGTTAAATTAGCGCATTCAGAGAATACAACTCAAACAAACACTGCACTGCTGAATTATCACTCCAGTGATGGATAAGCTATCCCGCTAAATACAACGGAACGTAACATCTAGATCTGTTTATTTCAGCAGATTAATTCTCATATTAAATAAGGGTTATTTGTTTATATGAACATATATATATATATATATATATATATATATATATATATATATATATATATAGAAACATAAACACCATCTATGTGTGTATGTGTTTGAAATTAACAGTCAGTTGCCATGGTGATACGTTTCACCGTTTATCTTTATGGATGGTTGGTTTTTTTTTAACTTTATTACTGGACAGTTAAATGCTTCAGTGAGTTGATAATGAAGTTTACTTTTTATATGGATAAAACAACAACAACAACAACTAGTCACATTACAAACGTTATATTTTGTTTTGAACAAAAACATCCCACGATAGTTTATTCCGACTTGCAAGAGTGGTCAATGAAAGGTTGCGCGGTTTAGTTTATGACTTTGAAGACAAAAAGAAACGATATTCTCTTTAATTTGTCGAACATCTATCCAGCTTAATGACTAACTGACGTCCGTTAGACAGTTATGGTTAGACCATCAGAGATTACTGGAAAACCGTTTCATCGCACTAGTCTGAGACTCTTCAGTGGTACAAACCCACCGCCAGGGCTAGAACCCAACACTTTCCATTTACAAGTTGACGACACAGACAGTTCAGCCACTGGGATTCGATTTAATCGCTCAAGCATTCTGACTTCTACCAATTCGTTATCCTAGTGCTGCCACCAACCAACGCCGTCGGTGAGTAAATGTTCTCTAACCTGACTTGGTGAAAACTGATGGTTACGCACACACATCCACCCACATAAAGACACCTGCTTGCTATGAAAGATGCAGTCTCCCACTCATCCTGGATAAAATACTCTTTCATATTTTTACAAGAGGTGAGTTAGCTAGCATGCATACAAACTTTTCTGTCAAAGCTCCTTCTCAGCTTAATAGAAAAATTATGAAAAGAAAACACGCATCAAAGATTTGTGAATTCAACGAAAACATGAGAATATATGTGGGCACATTTATATACATTTTTGAGAAAAAATGTAACAACTTGCTGATGAAATCCAATGAAGCGTGAAACAGTTAAGTTAATAAAGGGATTAACATTACAATCAAAAAAATATGGATAGAGAGAACAAACTAAGGTTTAGAGCAATTCAGTGTTTAAAAAAAGGTTGTATAACCTACAATTATGTTTGTTATTCCCATGAGTTCCAGATGAAACGTAGAGTTTCGACAGCACATTTTCACCTTGTCGTACTCATGGTAGTCTTTCTTAACTGGTCCTACGGTTGGCCGTATGCTTTAATCTCCTCTTCACACCATCCCTTCCAAGTCATCCTTAGACCTCGGAAGCGAAAACCATCGTTTTCCATCGGGGTTCCACGCAAGTTCAGGTGTTCTGTGCCATTTCATTTGACAGTCTCCTCGATGTGTGTCCGATCCAAATTCATTTTCTTCCGAAGAGTTGTTGAGTAATAAATTGTTAGTTGGTTCACCCTAAGGGTTACTTGCTGTTAATTCTTTCTAGCTGATCATTTGACCTTCACTACGGATTCAGCGAGGGCATATGTTGATAACGGTCTGAAGTAGCCTGTTGGTGATGCTTTTCGTGACGTACTAGCCAATTTTTTTTCCCACGTAGAAGAGGTATCTGATTTAACATTGGTGTTGAAAATCCGTATTTTGTTCCTTATACGGAGCGCAGCAGATCTCCACAAAGATTTCAGAGAAATAAACACTATCCTTACTGTTCCAGTCCTCACTGTGACTTCCTCATACGTCCCACCCGCCTTATAGTCAAATTCCTGTTTTCACTGCCTATTCTACCTACCTGTCTAGTTTAACAGTTTTGTTATGACGTTTACTCTAATCGAATAATTCAACAGCTAAGTCATTGGAAGAAAGATTACTATTATTATTCCTTTGTCTTCCAGGTGGAATATAGGGCTTCTCTACAACCTCCCCACCAGACCCATGGTTGCCTATAATATGTCATCAACTCCTCACACTACCTCTTACGTATCACCCTCCTATTCGAGTTCCTCTAGACTGCCTGGTGCTAGATTTTGCTCAACGGTCTGCTTAGAGTGAGTTCTATCCATCTCTGTTTTCATTGGCCTACTTGCTGATCAACAGGTTGTTAACTGGTTCATCGTCAGAGTTTTTATCGCTTATCCTTTATGGACAGCTGTCTGGCCGTCTCATCTTGAGCCAGTGGTGAAGGCTATTGTTGATAATAATAGAAATGCTATCGATGGAGCTTTAGCTGACTTAACATTGGTGTTGGAAATCCGAGTTTCATTCTTCGTGCTTAAGGGAAGGTTGAGCGTGGGGGAGGGGCTACCGACCCTACCCGCGAAAATCAACCTAACCTTTACAGAAACTTTAAATCACATTTAAAAATTTAAAAACCAAACATAAGGAAGACCATTATTGGAATAAGTATATGCATTGTCTTTTCAGTTAGTTGTCGCATAAAATGGCATCCATGCTCATATGAGCTATTGAAATTAAATGATCCACCTGAATATTCCACACAAAATAATCTTGAGTTGGAAAGAAATGCTGAAAAAACCCCCATCTCATCAGCTTTTCACAAAACTGACGAAAGGGAAATATCAAAATCTTTGCAATACTTCAATTGCATTTCAAGTATTGGTTTGTAGAGATTTGGTTGATTGGTTACAGGATTTCATCATGAGCTGAAATTGGTTAGAGAATCATTGGAAAACCAGTTGGGAGTACTGGACAACTATTTCGTCCTAGTTTGGGACTCTTCATCTGTACGCACCCATCACAGGGGTTCGAACCCAGGACCTTCTGGTTACAAGGCGAGATAGCTCATAGACAATTAAGCCACTGGGACCCGATCCAATGGCCAGCCCATGAATTCTAACTTCTGCCAATTCACGACATAACGTGACTGCTAGACAATGTCTCCAGCGAGTATTTGTCCTCACACTCGACCTGCTGCACCCTACTGGTCACGAGTTCCCACTAGAATCCCAGGTAACTGTGAGTTATTCATCCTACCGAAGAAGATACCCAGTGTTTTCATTTTCATTAATTAACATATTTCCATGTTTTATATATTTATATTTTTCAGACCGTTGAATCCACAGGAGGTAATATTCACAATTCAATGGCATTTAAAGATTCTCCCGGTTATTATGGATCACAGTCTGTGGCATCAATGACCACCAGGTTGGATAAGAAAAGAGTGAAAGGTTCATTTGATGAATCTGTACACCAAAAGCCAAACTATTTTTCATCATCAACCCCCCAGGTCAAGGACAAGTCTTCATCACATTCACTTTCAATCAATTCTGATGAAAATAGTCATCTGGACGATAGACAGTCAATTTTATCCGATGTTGGCGGTGGAGGAGGACATATTCCATCGGATAGTAGAGAAGCGATAAAAGATACTGAAGATAAACAACAACACATGAACAGCCGTAGTGGAGGCAGTGCAAGTAAGATCAGTGACATTAGCGACAGAGGAGGAGATGCCAGCGGTGGTAATAGTGCAAGACCAGTGCTAGAAATGAGTATGTACATCCTGCTCGGGTTATTCGCTGTTGTTGGCCTGGTATTTGCTGTCAATTGTGGTGTTGTTGTTATACGTTATCGTTGGGAAAAGAAGAATACGCGTAAACGTAATGCAGGAACTATTGATGATAGTAATGCTAATGATAATGTTTATGACAGTAACAATACTAGTGCCAGTTGCATTCGTAAGAAACGCAATAAATCAATTAGTCGTAATACACCATCGCCATCACTGCCACTTACCAGCGGATTGTTGAACAAAGATGATGATGAAATTGTAGACAACAATCAGATCATGTCGTCTATGCATGCTTCATCGAGTTGTAAAAGAATGCACCGGTCAAAAAGTGATGTAGAGAATCAAGAAAGACTTCTCACTACTTCCAACAATAGTAGCAATAATAACAGTAATAAGGATGGTGGGAAGCGTACAAAACGATCGGCTACATCAATGTTTACAAGTCGTCAAAAACACAAAGTGAGATAGATATTTCTTTAAAATTTGTGAATGGTTTTATGACTGAAGGTTGTTTTTTCAAAATTCCGCCTTTTTTTCGCCTTGTTTACGCGATACTCAGAGTGTCGATAGAAGCATGTGTATAACTTTGATACTGTGGAAGTACGGAATTCCATGCTAATCTGTTTATATGACATTAGAGCATACAGTGAAGCATCAATATTTACTCGATGACGTTTCAGATACGACGTATTGTTCGTAATCATATAGCTTTAGTGATATGCCCTCATAGTTTGCTTTGTATATTATAATAAAGGTTTTTGTATTTCCCAATGAATGAAAAACAAAACGATATTGTTTTTACTGACATTTCGCTATTTAATGCTGCTGCTAATAGCTTTATCAAAGTATTATTAAACCGGAATTTACAAAATCTCAGCATATATACAACATAGAGTTAAGAGGTGAAAAAATAGACTTAGGTCAAGTTAAAAGGGCATATTGAAAGTCAAAATAACAATGAAGATCAATAAACCAAATAACAAAGATAATAGTACATCTGTTATGGTATCAAAACAAAGTTTACTAACTTGATCATCTTTCGTCAGTCTGAGGTCATTTTTCGTTGTCAGGTTGGTCATTTGGTGAAGGTAACAAAATCAAGTGTAGATTGTTGGATTTGATCAGTGTGTAAAACCATAAAGGTAGTGTGTATTTCCATAGTGAACTTGCATATCACATTCGTGTTGATTTTGTCACTTCATGAGGGAGGGGAGGTAGGTGTTGCAACCAAGTCAGATTCTGTTTTAGTCCATCATTCCTATCCAGACAGATTGGATTCCACTTGATATGAAGTGCTTCTGATATTAGTTCAGATAAAGCACTCGCTACATGCAATTACACACAATCAACCTTACAATAGAATGGGATATGATGACAGTTTTAAGATAAAATGTAACAGTGTTAGGAGGGAGAGATTGATAACAGAAGCCTTGTTTATCGAATCAACTGCAAACACGTGTAATAGGAATGATTCAACACCTGTCCAGCTAGACATCCGAAAAATTCTACTACCCCAACGACGACAAATAAGAGAGGACAAAGAAAACTATAAAACTCAGGTTCGTGTGATTATAATTGATATGATTATGAACAATAGATACATTGTGTTCGAAACTCTGTCATCCAGTAAATAATGCTGTTTCACTGTGTGATATATCCATCTAATAAGCAAACTAATATGGAATTACTTACTACCACAGTGCCCAAGTTTTACACATGTATCAATATATTTATTACCATTGATATTATTGTTCCCTTGAGTTCCTACTGAAAGAACACTGCTTCAACCGCATATCTCTACGTAATCGTATTCTTTGTTGTTCTCTTTAGCCGGTCCGACCACTTCCCATAGTCTCTCATGTCCTTTACGCATGACCCCCTCTATGTCACCCTCAGACACGCGCCAAACACGTCGTTTCCTATTCAGGTTTTACTTGAGCGGTGGCCTGGAGCGCAATGTCATTTGACAGTGTCCTCAATGGCGTCTGTCCTATTCATCTCCATTCATCTTCGGAATATTTGTTTAGTAATAGGTACTCGGTTGGTTCCTTCGTATAGTTACTTGTTGCTAATTTTTTCTGACTGGCCATCTCATCTCCAATACAGAACCACAGAAGATAAATGTTCAAAAAGGTCTTCAGTCTTTTCTAAATGCATTACGATTATTCTAGAATATTTTGTGCATACAAGTATTATATTATTATTCCTGTTCCCTTGAGTTCCTAGTGGAATATAGGGCTTCAACTACACGTCTCCACTCGCTTCTGTCTTCTACTGTACTTTTCACCTCCATCCATGTTAGTCCATACTGTTTCAACTCCTCTTCACACGATCTCCTCCATGTCACCCTTCGACGTCCCACTCGCCGTTTCCCTTTCGGGTTCCCCTCGAGCACTGGCCTGACGCGCAATGTCACCCAGTGGCCTGCTCAGCGAGTGTCCAATCCATCTCCACTTTCTCCTGCATGTTTGTTGATCGATTGGTTCTTGTTTTGTTTGTCCCCATAGTTTCCTGTTGGTGATTCTTTCCGGCCGGCCATCTGATCTTCAGTATAGAGCAAAGACAGTTGTGGTTGATAAAGGCCTGCAACAGGCTGTTGGAAATATTCTTTGTGACCCGCCAAGTTTCTGATCCGTATAGAAGAACTGACTGACTTGACGTTTGTATTGAAAATTCGAATTTTTTTGTTGTATACAAATATTGTTATTTAATCGTAGAGTCGAAAGAAGAATATCCTTTTCTCAGACTCACCTTCGTCTTCTAGGATATTCTTTAGTTGTATCACGTAGACCGAATATTCACCATAGTCTTATATACATGCTTCTTAATGTTATTATTATTATTATTACAGCCCTTATTGCATCGAGATTCAAGTTGGGTATGGGTTGGTCGTCAACAGGTTATCGGTGAACAAAATGAAACCAGCAATCAAGACTACAACCTTAAACAACATCATCAGCATCTTTCTCATGCCCAGATGCATTATTCGGCTCCGCCTAATGAGAACAATAACAACAACAGCAACAACAATAACCCTAATCAAATAGACTCGAAACACTGTCATTCACATAAACGTTCATTACAATTCAATGAATCAAAAAAGCATCCAACAACTGCTGTTCTATCTGTCGGTGAAGCTGATATGCTGCTATTACAATCACCATATCGTGAAAATGTATGGCAGGATACTATACGTTCAAGTACAATTGAATCCGAATCACAATTTTTATTATTTGCAAGTGTCAACGGCGGCCAATTTGGTTGTCCAGATGGAAAACATCTAACGCCTGAAATGTCTAGTCAATTCTCACCGACATTTAATCTATCCAGAAATGAATGTCAAACACTTGGACGTAATCTAAGACGTCATACAGGTGGATTTACACAAAGAAATTATCAGGTATAAATACTGATTTGATTTCTCTTAACTAACTTAATTCATAGTTTCTGTTTTTCATTATCACTACCAACATACGATATTGCTGACAGCAACTTTACCAGTCACATCGTGAAGAGACACATATCTTACGAATATTCTATAGACTTTCCAACTTGGAATTTTTGCACAAAATTCAAGTTGCAACAGTGCTTACATGTTCTATTTCCAGTGGTCATGTCTTACAGTTGTCAAGTAGGATCTGGAGAACTGACTCACAGTAAAAGCATTTGCCAATTTGTGGAATGAGACTTTGGTATTTATAATAAAATTCTATCAGCAATCAGTTATTTAGAGTTGATGAAACACTGTAAATAAGGAGAAGGTTGACATACTTCTATGTTGACAGATAAACAATGGATTTTCCTTTGTTGGTAATACGGTGACCGATATCCAGCCTATGAATTAACCAATCAGAATTCGGCCCACATAATTGATCGATGTCCAGTCTGGAAAACAAACCAATCAGAATTGGCCAACGTAAAATAACGCCCAGTATTTTATTAATCATGATTACAGACTAACTGATGTATCCATTGTGATAGTTTGAATCATACACTATTGCATGAAACATACTTTACGGCTCATATCGTTGTGTTCTCGTCTAGGTAGTGCAGGTTGGGGGGAACAGGTAGCTGTCGTTACTGGTTTAGTCAAGCGGTATTCGTGTTCAGCAAATCTTTGTCTAATCTGGTGTCCCCATTTCACTCTCATTGTATTGTGAATCACAACACGCATTTGACAATTTCACTTACTATAGTCTAACTAAGAGGGACGGTAAATCATTCTTGAAGCATCATCTTACGTTTGACAAGAGTGATCCACGTCACAAGCATATTCATATTTCTAATCAATGTTTTGAAAACTTTGAATATTGCCAGGTACTTCACCGGCACATTCTCCTAGTAATCTGTCGATCCATAAGACAGTGAAGCTTACCAGCGTCACTTTTAATAGGTCCTTTTAATAAGACCTATAGGTCAACAGGTCAAGGAATGTAGGTAATGGTTTTCGTTTTGCTTAATAATAACCTGAAGTTCGTCACTGATTGTCATTTGAGCAGTCTAAAATAAACACTTTGGCAGACTGAATTTAGATTTCATTGACATAAAACTCGAAAATGAAGTATGCTAGCTCGTTATCCTTACTTATTGCTCCATCCTTTTTGTAGCTGTCAAAACATTTATTACTGAAATAGTATCCTTACTTCCTTTTACTACCCGAAACCAAAATAGTGGATCCCTGAAGTTTCTAGACAGAAATATGTATTTGCGACCAAGTAGAATTACTATGTCCTTAGCCTCAAAGAATTCTGTCTTTTTAAAATACCATTTTCGTGGAGGCTATATCAGTAAAATTTGTAACACAACAGTAAACGAATTCCGTGGCAGTATCATTCATTGTATCAAAGTTGAGCCGTGAATCAGTTCTAGTTCTACAGATGACAATAAACTTCTCAGATTTAACTTCAACACGCTTATCTACCACATAGACGGCTGCTAAGGAGCTCGTTGACACTAAACTCATTAACAAGCATGTTCATAGCAAGATTTTTTGACATCGTAGTACATAGTTAGGAAAAGTTGACTTTTTCCTGAGTTCTACTGAATCCCCTCTATGTTGATCGTAGAACTGATATTAGCTACTCAGGGTGTATCTTTTATTCTGAATACTGCTAGAGCTTCTGGAATCCATCCGAATAAGGCGAATCTATGTGTTAGAAGACCATTCTCAATCTTGGCTATTATCATAAAAATGCATAACCTGGTCACTCCCCTTCCACCTGTCATATTTACAAGCTATTATTATTATTCTTTAAATTATGGCGTTAATTTTCCAGTTTCATGCATAATTGCTGTTATGTAAATGATGCTAATAATTTAATTACTCACTTATTTTTCCTATTTTCCAACACACCAGCTTTGCATTGCGCAACCATCTGTTTTAATTTTTTTACAAATATTTCCACCTTTTACATTATTGCCCTAATTTTCTTCCTTAATTATCTCTCATCTGGCATGTTGATATTGATAACCAATGATTGTAAATAAACAATTAAGAAGCCATACATATATATTTATGTGCATATATTAGTGTTAAACCAAGCAAGTAAAGAATGGCATCTTCGCAGAAGATGACTAGCAGTGGAATGCAGAATACCCATTTTGTCCTATTTGGAACTCAGCAGGTGAATGCATCCGCCTCCTCACTAAGAGATGGTGTTCTCCCTAAGACTTAGACTTCATACCTATCATTCCATCCTCGTGGACAAGTGGCCTAGCTGATGCCACTTTGATGTTTGAAACGAAAGATGCAGAGTTAAACTTTCAAGGGCAACACCATTTCTCACTGAGAACTTAGATATATTCAGAGGACGAGTTCCAAGAAGGAGGAAATGCGGATCTTGGATTCCACTTCTAGGCACTGCCAGCCATAATAACGTTATGTTATCCTTCCAACATCTTTGAAGAGTCTCTACTTCGAGCCAAAATGTGAATAACGACCGGACATTACGGTCTGGCATAATCAGTCAGCGGGATATCCACCTAAACTTAACTGAAAAGCAATTGTCTGAAAACCAGTTCATATGCTTCAATGATCTTCACCTATTTTTTCATTTGCTTGACTAATTTTGTTAATTCACATCTCTTCACTCGTAAAAACGACTAAGTCATCATTACATTCTCAAAATAAATTTTGTCTTATTTTATTTATGTGTGTGTATTTATCGTATTTTTAGTAGCATTTCACAAATTTAATTTATACCTGTTATTGTTGTTGTTGTGGTTCGCTACACGACAATGTCACATGTGAGGTTATCTACAATGGAGAACTAAGCTTAGCCTTCGAAGTGAAGACAGGAGTCAGACAAGGCTGTCAGCCTACCATCACCAACGATGTTATTCCTAATTGTGGTGAACCAGATTATGCGGCAGACTGTGCAAGCTAGAAGACAGCAGTGCATTCGACCGACAAGAAGACTTTAGAAGACCTGAACTTCACAGTCAATTTATGTCAAGTGTCCTGCAGGCGAAGACAAACAAGCTGGCAGAAGAAGAAGTGTAGAGAGGACAGGATTTCAAGTGAACACAGACAAGATGGAGGTGATGAAAATAACCAAACAACAACAACAATCACTAATCGATATCAATGGAGTTAATTTCAAACGGGGCACTTCGTTCACTTAACCAGGAAGCATCATTCCAATCACAGGCCCTCAGCATAGGTGGTGATGTCAAAACCAGGAATGAAGAGGTGAGGTAGACCATCACACTCTGAAACCAGTTTAGAAATCTTCTGTACTCCGACGAAGGAGCATAAACAAAAAAATTCGGATTTTCAACACCAATACAAAGTCAGTCGGTTATTCTGTGTGGATCAGAAACTTAACGCGTGCGTCACGGAAAAAATTTCCGATAGCCAGCTATAGAATTTCGTCAACAGCTGCCTTCTCTGACTCTGCAGTGAAGATCAGATGGCCGGTCATAAGGGAACGACAAGAAAAAAGCCTGGAAACGAACCAGTCAATCAGCAAATATTCTTAAGAGACTGTGAATGGACTGGATATGTAACAACAGAAGACAAGGGTCAGATCGTTTATTAAGGAAAATCAACACATATTTATAGATTTTAATGTACATTATTGTAGATTATTGTTAGTAGAAAATACAGTCTTTTGATTGGTTGTTTCTCACAGAAAGTTAACCTTGCATCTCTTTGTGGCTGTGTCAGATCATCCATATGCTAACTGTATCCGCTTACGCAAAGCCTTTGTTCTCATTTTCTCACCAGCAATATTGGGGACATAAACATTGACGTCAATTGCTGTCTACCAACTTTGTCTAGCAGCCAGCTCTCACCACAGATACACGCCAAGGAGACCACTCGATGACATCTTGCTCCAGGCCATCGTTTCCGTGGGGCCTGAATACAAAACGACGGGTTTGACGTTCAAGGTCCGAGGGTGACATGAAAGACATTGTGTGAGGAGAAGATAGGAGGTTATGGTCACTCATGGGGGAAGTTAAAGAGAATTACAGAGAAGAGAATGCATTGAAGATGTGCTTCGGAAATCCTAAATTCCATTCGAAATGTAAGAGCATAATAACAATATAGTAGTGGTTGTTGAGGGCTTTTATTGTCAGTTGCTTGTATGAAAGCACTCTAAGTTGGGGATAAACATTTAAGTTATTTACTACTAATCCTATTCACTGATATATATATATATGTATATATATATATATATATATATATATATATATATATAGGTACATCTTCATGAATTTCCACCATGAATTGTCTCATCTGAGAATGAAAAATTAGGTAAAAGGTCCTTGGCTCAGCTGTATATGTAAACGTATATGCATAATGAAATAACGAATGAACCTCTCATTACAGTCTTACTATCTCCTGTTTAATACACACCACTTTGTGCTAGCCACTGACTCACCTGACACCTTTTATAACCTTGAACTGACTTGTCAGTTTTCCTGCCCCACACTCTACAAATCTATTATGACTAATAACCACCATTGTCTCCCATTTTACAATATTTTGTAATCGATTTCAGCCCAGAGCACTTTTGTCACACAAATACGACTATTTATTTTGACACCCCATAACTAATCTGTTATTCTACGTTAAAAATGTATCCGCCGCATAAATGGCTATCATTATTGTAACGACAACAAATATTGTTATATTTTATAATTATAAGAACCTGAAGAGAAATTATTGAAAAGAATATTCTTCATTCAGATTGACTTTTAATTCATAATATGCGAATATTCCACACTATTATATCTCATTTTATCCTCATCATTATTTCACAGGGTCAAGAATGCAGTATACGGATAATTAGTAATCCATTATCAGACAACAACAACAACAAGCGGCAATCACAATCACAACAACCACAAAATCAATTCACCAATCCACAACTTTTCATGTCTCAATATCCATCAGAAAATATCAATTATGCACACAATACAGTCGACACACTAACAAAATCAGCTATTGTATGCGATTCTTGGTTAAGCACACCGTATCCAGTTCCCCTGACAGGTAGTGCTAGTGCATCTTTACATCGTAAATACATACCACCACATTGTATTCGTGATGAATATGGCGGTGGTGAGCAGTTCAACTCTAAAGCATTTACACCTAATATGATTCGATCAAATCAGGTGAAAAATCTTTCGAACTATCCAGTTTTGTCGAATTCACCACAACCGATCTATCCACCGTTAATGATATCATCCCCTTTACCTGACTATCGTCAGACAGCGTCATCAGAAGCAACAGCCACAACAGCAGCAGCAGTAGCAGGTCAACACAACTGGATCAAGTCAGTTAGTAATGATGATTCACACGACAGTTATAACCACTCGTCAATTGATCGACCAGACTGTACAACTAACAATGAAATGCTTGATGTCTCATCACCAATCTGTCCACTGAATTCTCCTTGGCAGATTCGACGACCACAAAAATCAACAAAAAAACGTAGTCACCAGCAAAAACAACAACAACATCATTCAGAATATTATCCTGATGACAAGATCTGTGATCAAATGGCAGAATCAAATGGTGATGATGATGATGAAGGTGTATCAGAGAAAAATGATATTTATTATAGTCAAAATCCACCATTCCCGCCTGTCAGGACAACAAGTCGTGGAACAATCCTGTGCCATACTCTTGGTCATTTGAAAAGGAATAACAATTACGATAATAATAATCATCATTCGCGTCCACTTAGTTTACCACAAGTGAGTTAAGAATATTATTAATATTATTGTTTCCTTTAATTCCTAGAGGAACATAGGGCTTCAGCCATGCGTCTCCATTGCGTTCAGTTCTCTGCTACAGTCTTCACCTGGCTCCTAGTCTGACCATATGCTTTCATCTCCTCTTCACATGACCTCCTCCTCCAAGTCACCCTTGCACTGACGACCAACTCGCCTCTTCCCTTTCGGGATCCACTGGAGGGCTTGATGGTCACTTGATGGTTTCCTTAGAGTATGGCCAACCCACCTAACTCCATTTCTTCCTGCCTATTTGTTGCACAATCGGTTCCTGCTGTGTTGGTTCACTCCCAGAGATCCCTGTTGCTGATCTTTTCTGGCCAGCCATCTGATCTTGAGTATTGAGCGAAGACAACTGTTAATGAAGGTCTCTAGTTTGTTTGAGATTCTCTTTATGACGCGCAGTGCAAGTCTCTGATTCGTATAGTAAGTGGCACTGACTTCAAACTGGAGTTGAAAATCCGGATCTTATTTTTCATGCTGAGTGCTGAGTTAAGAATAAGTAACGGACAAATTTACTGTCACATACATATATCTATATATGAAAATCGCACCATCGAATTGGTCTGCGTTTAATATGCAGCAAACTCCGAACACCTCCTAAACCTCTGTGGACTTTCTAGTCGACAATAAATCTAGAAACGTTGGCAGGGGGGGTGAACTTTAGGTTCGCAACATCAATTCGTAAAAGCCAAACACCATTGCGCTGAAGCTTCAAAAGTTTGCGCCACTTTGTTCGACCAGACGCTCAGAGAATATATACATATATCCAGCGAAAATATTCATTCAGACATCTATAAAACACAAAATAACTCAACAAAGAATATCCTTTTCGTTAATTTTCTCTTCTCGCTCTACAATTATATATATGCATGTTTATATACACAGAATAATCGAGAATAGTAGTCAATATCAATATTAGTATTTTTAAATAATATCGATTTAATAAGTAATATCGTAATGGAATTACAGTTCATTAAAGATGCTTAAATTACAATAATAGTAGAGATATAGTAGCAAATAGAATATCAACTATAATTAGTAGAATTCGACAACAAATTGAGGATCATTCAAACCTAGATAGCCAAGGTAAGGATAATGTCTCAAATAACTTCTTTTGGGAGCACAAATTAGGCTTCTTAATTAATATGGATCCCAACAGCCTCAGCAATATTTAGTAGTCGAACTCATAAGGCGAAATTGAGATTCGTTGGTATGCGGTAAATGACCCTGAAAGCATGGTTAACATCAGTCTTGTATTCTGTATCCACAAGATGACACAGAATAGCGCTGCGAATAGATTTTGTTTGTCCTTTGCTTTACCACACAGGGTGATGTTCGGAATTTTGACGAGAAACACGCCTAATTGTGCGGCCTATGTAAGTGGCTCATTCCACAGGAGCAGTTCAATTTGTAGATACACATGGAAGAGGCGAAATTAAGCAGTTTATCTTTTTATTCCCGAATGCAAAATAGGGATGGATGGTTTTGAAGACACAGAGTAATTCGGCACCGGAAATGCTCTTTTTACCGCAATTCTAAGGCGTTTTGTTAGTATATCGCTGGTATTGTCCGTAAGGAACTGAATTTGTAAGAATAAGCCCTTTTTAGGAACTGTGTGTACCTAGGACTGCCTTGATTTTAGATTCATATTCTTATCAATAAACTTTTCTGGATAACCATTTTCACTCAGCAACCACTAAATATTATTAAGTTCCCCATCAAGACATTCGTCCGAGAAAATTGCTCTTGCTCTATGAACCAAGCACTTTATCAGATTGCATTTGTATTTCAAGGGCAAGAAGCTGAAATATGTATATATATGTATAAATGGATTCAGTACTTCGGCACACAGTCATCCATTACATTTTCTTCAAACTTTTGAATTTTCCCTTAATTCATTTCATCGAATAGAAATGACCAGTTTATGCTGACATATTGTCTCCTAAAAAGGACACTCCGGTAATGTCTATGATTTCACACTTGGCGTTATTGAAAACAGTTTGTGGCTGGCATCGTTGTAAAGTTTTAGTTTCGGTGAAAAACGCCATAATTTCGGGATAGTTTTTTTCGACTGATAGGTTCTCGATTAATTTATTTCTCAGAGTCTTTTGTGGCTAATTTATTCCTGACTAAGCACCATCTTATCTTCAGTGTCAAAATGGGACATTTGTTGTTAAAACTCTTCTGTGTGCCTTTAGTTGACAAGACGGTGCCTGGACAAGTAATGGAAGTGACCTTGTTCAAATTTATTCCGTTCATACTGAATGGTGATTGTTTTTATTTGTTGGTTACTTTCATAGCTCCATCTTCTCTATGTCCACTTGAATTGCTGTCTTCGCTGCCAGCCCTTACTGATAATTCATGGGTTCTCGCCCGTAATTCTTTGAATTTGTGTGACATTAGATATGCATCATCTGCGAAGTTCAGATGTTCTAAAGTCTTCTTGTCTGTCTAAAGAAATTCCAATCCTTTCCCTACGAACGCACGGTGTTCTTCATAATCTAGTCTGTCATATTTACGAATATCATCGGTGATAGGAGGCAGGCAGCCTTGTCATACTCTTGTATTCACTTCAAAGGCTTCACTTAGTTTTCGTTTGTGCGTCGGTGGCACAGAGGTTAAGACTCTTGCCGACCATGCAAACGGTCCGGGGTTCGATCCCCTACCAACGCACATCCGATATCAATGGTCGGCCTGCAAAATTTGGGCTACCGATATCACATGCTGAAAATTCCATACTTGTACCAAAAATACTGTGTGGAATCAAGCTATAATAAAAAATTGTAGTATAGCTGTTGAATGAGGTGGATAAATATTTAAGGCAAGTCACAGTGTTGAAGTAGTTTTCAAATTACTTCGAAGCCAACCTCCAGTTGAAGGACTTTTCAAAGTCAATGAAAATGACTTGCAATTTGATCAGCACATAAATTACTTTTCTTGATTCCAGCTTGTTCCATTGTCAGTAGTTCTAGCTGCAATATGCCTTTTATTCTCTCAGATATGACGCAACCTAATAGCTTGCTTGGCGTGGACAAAAGTATGATTCCGAGTCAATTCTTGCAGATGCTTAATTCGCCCTTCTTTGGTTGTGTGATAAGTTATCCTCCTTTCTCCCAGTTAGTAGCTACCTTTGCTTCCGTGCAAACTGTTTGCAGCAGTAGCATGAGCATGTTGATTGAAACCTCTGGATCGGCTTCATGAGGAATATTGTTTGGTCCTGAAGCCTTCCTGGCTTTCAGTAGCTTGACTACATTCGAAATTTCAGTTTTTGTTAGAGGATAAATGTCAACTGGCAGTTCAGTGCTTTCTGTTGATGGTATTTCTGGACACGTCACAAGTGATAGTCAGTTATAACGTTACTTAAGCGGGAATGAGGTTGGTTATTTATTTGAGAACACAGTTTATTCATAAGTTTACCAATACTAATGTTCCCTTGCTGTAATGATTGGTTATTGAAGTCCATTCAGAAGATACTTCACAGAGGCAGCTTGCTATAATTTCACTTAAGTGTACTAAAGTTTTGTTTCGGAAAAATTTCATTGATTTCACGTCTGATCGCCAACTAACATCATTCAGGAAATCACTAGAAACTAGAGGATACTAGACGACAGTTGCTTCGTCCTAATACCGCACTCTTCAGTGGCCCTTACTCATAACCCTATCAAGATTTGAATGCAACACCCACGGGTAATGTGGTGAGCATGTTTATCATTCAACAACTAGAACGATTTCAACAATCTCTATAACTTTGAATAAGGCATTAAGAAGACAAATTTCGCGAGATGATATCATTTCGCAGTTCCTTTACAACCGCCTTACAACTAACATGGTTAACAATAATAAAATAAAGTTCATGACAATTACTCAGTTAAATAAAAAAACCAAAGGTACATACTTATGAACAATCACATTTAGATAGGTCAAGTAGTCAGTCCAAGGTAGGCGAAGATTGAAGTTTATTGTTTTTGTACACACAGTTTAGGCTGTATGTGATTAATCCAAAGTGCTTCCATCACCTTCAATAACCAACCTTGAATTAGAGTTATGCGATGAAATAATTGTGAAACAGTCATTAATATTGATTTTGTGACCTGACATTAATAAGTGTTTTGCAATGGATGATGCTGGATTTCTATTAAGATTAATCGCATTGGGATTTTCTATATGATTTAGTAACCATTTTGGAACTTGTTCTTTTTCGACGACATTGGAACATTCTGTTGGTTCCAGCTATATAGGTGTCACCGCAACTGCAGGTTAGCCCGTAGATGCAGTTCGAAGTAGAGTCCACAGAATTTCGTCCTTTAATCGTAGGTACAGGGATCGAAAATATTCGGCAAGTGAGAAAAAGAGATGTGGCGTAGAATGTGCGTTTGATGGCTGACCGAAGTCTTTGAGTTAGCTGTCAACTGCATAATATGGTCACCCTTGAACGGTAGGTTAATAAAGATGGATAGTTTTCTTTGGTACAGAAGCTGTCTTTTCTAGATGTGATCTATCCTTACTGTGACAAGTGATAAACTATTCCGGATAACCATTGCCTAATAAAACTGAATGTATATGTCAAAGCTCATCCATCAATGTGTCACTCGTGCATATTTTTCAGGCCCTTGCGAACAAACATTTCACACTAGGGAACGTTTATACTGGATAGGAACAAAACTGGTAAAATGAAGATATTGTCCACTCCATGTCTGTTTACGACAACTAGATCGCTGAATCGTTTCATCATCTCTCCTGGTCATTGTAATATTGAGGAAACCGAGTTTGTTATTCGATTCGAGTTTAGAAGTCACTCAGATATTTGAATGAATATGATCTCTATAACGTCCCTGGCACCAATTTTCTTCTTGTTTATGTCAAGATCAGAAAATAATCCGGATTTAGAACTGATCACGCCATATATATTTTTTTTCCACTACTATTAATTATAATCAAAACTATCAGTCTCTTTTAGTATTTTTTTCTTGTCTCTATCAATCTCACTAACTAAAATTTTCTGACCTTTAATGGGTTTTGTTTTCTTCATGTAAACTACAGAGTTTTCATGCAACAAATGAATTATATTCAACATTGTGTAAAACAGATTCATCTAATGAATGTATGCAATTTTTAATGGACGATATTCGTGGAGAACATGAAAAACTTCACAATATTATTAAGACTGATAATAATAATAATGTTAACAATACTAATGTTAATCCCACTGAAATAACCCTGGAAGTTTGTCAAGATTGTCTCCAACCCACAACATATTTTAATAAACAACAAAGTCCAAGTGAAGAGAGTCTTTGGTGGTATCATCCAGTTCATCAGAAACGTAGACGTAAACGTAAACACGAATCGAAGAAACACGCCGGTGAGATTAGATCAGGTCATCATAACCATCAACATCTTCACCTGTTGCAACAACCGCAGCAAAAACATCATCAACATCATAAGGATAAATTTATCCCTACCACCTCTGGACAGTCAAATGATCTATTGAAACAAACAGTTGGTCACCATGGCAATGGAGGTATTGTGTCTGGTGCCTCTATTATGCCTGCATTTAAGAACAGTGATGAACATGAAATACAGAAAAATTATTTGATTTCAGATTTACGTAAGTCACTGTTAGCTTCAAATGTTAACATGGTATCTCAATTTTTTAATTTAGTTTTGTTCTCTGAGTTTGGAGGCTTTCATTTACCCCCTGCTAGACAACATCTTCAGGGAAATTATATAATTATATCTTCTGGCAACTGTTGTCATGAGTAGTTGTCAATTTACATCTCTACTGATCATTTTTACTTGAACCTTCTTGTTACGTGATTCGTCTTTTATTAGTTGGTAAATTTGATCCACAGTAATGTGTGTGAGTCTGTTAATCACCGATATCCATCTGAGTACCAGGCTCCTAGAAATTCTTCAACAGTTTAATGTTTCCACTGAGTTTACAGTCTCCACATTCTCCCAACCAAATTGGTGTCCGCAGTTGTCTACATGCGTTGGTATGAAAGAATACAACATTTCATGTCTTTTCACAAGTAATATGTGTTCGAGCGGTCTCCCGCTTTGACCGATGTGGTGTCTATCACGCACAGTTTATACAAATTATTCTGTAGTTGGATGCTTCGGTCAGCACAATCCTGAATGATGTGGTTGCCTTGGCTTGTGTAATATGTCTATTTCAAATGGTCTTAATATTCCAGCCATTATTTTAGAGATGTTCTCTATATGTGTGATGGAGTGAATTTTCTTGTGGTCTTAGAGGATGGTTTCTTGTTGGTGTGATGACTTGAGTTTCAACACGTTTTGATGAAATTGTATGGGTATTATTCACCAGTCTTCCTGAAGACAGTCAGTAGCTATTTCTCTTCTATTCTCTTCAACACAGGACTAATACAGTGTGTTCAGACTCTTTTAAACAATCTCTGCACAATCTTCTGTGTTTCATTGGGTTATAGCTGTTATATTCAAATACTTGACATGTAGGTGTGGATGTTCTGTATATTTGTGTTTCTGAATTTCCTGCATTAGTTCTCTTGATTAAGTAAGACATTTAAGAATGAAATTTAGCTGCCTGTTCCTCCTTCTATCGTGGTGAATTTAATGTCTTCAAATATGTTATGGATTAATTTGTAGCTGTATTCTAAATCACACTTCTTTTAATTATTATGAATGCATCGTCAACATAATGTGTCCAGATTTTCGATTCAATTTTGGGTAGGGCTATTAATTCTAATCTTTGCATAACGTCTTCAGTTATTAATCGTGGTTTGGGGGATCTCGTTGCTCTTCCTTATATCTGTTTTCATATCTGACTACTGAATTGGAAATATGTTGTAAGGCATAATTCTATGAGTTCCATCCAAGTTTTTGGTCACTGACTTGAATTCAACACCGTCTATCAAGGTTTAGATGGGCAGCTAGCTAGTATCGAAATCGCGGTCAAAATAAATATGACTCTGTAATGGGTGAATACATGCACTGTATTATAGCGCTTTAATTCGTAAGTGTCATGATGTATTTTTTCAGGATTATGAGATTCTCTGCCATACTGTATTCTGGATAACTGGAGGCTGGTAACCATTCGGTTTCCGAGTTACCGAAGTGAAACTACAGTTTTAATAAAGTCAGCGTCTCTCATTATTTACATTCTATAACAACATTTCTAAAAATACTCACGGATATGGAAACCTCCACCTAGAGATTCTAAGACTTGAAGAAAGACGAAACCGGTAGTGTTGAGAATGTCTTGAGCGACTTTACAGTCTACCACATTAACAACTAGATCTATTATCATTCTCCTGTTGAGGAGTGTTCCGAATCGAAAATAGGTCTTCATTGGCATATAGCCACTTTCCCATATTCCCTAAACTCTTTCTAAGCTGGCTCCATGATCGATCATATGCAAATATCTCCTCTTCACATCATCTCCCACCCCCGCATGTCAAAGACGGGTGACAAATCCATCACTTGCCAATGATGTTCCACTCGAGAGTCTAATTAGTGCATGTGTAAGCAGATGTTAGTGAAAGTTAGCAGTAGCCTGTTGGAAATAGCTTTTGTGACGCATTCATCGTGTCAGTGAATTTTATAGGACACCTGCTTTATAATGAATGCAGAAGATTTCCACACATCAACTTCAGATTAATGAAGGCCTACCAAGATTTTTCTCAATCTAATTCAGACTTTGACATCCTCGTTCATGCCTCCACTTGTGTAGTTGAAATGAAAGAATTGTCTTCTTTCAGATTTCGCCAATGGCTAGTGATTGGTGATCGTTGTCTTTGTTTTTGGCTAGATATCTTAACCACCTTGGTCTTCTCTATGTTCACCTAAAGTTCTGTATTTCCTTGCAACCTCTTTTGCTAATTTGTTGGTTTTCATACGTAGATTTTCGAATTGACGAAGCATTAGGAATAAATGACCCATATAGTTCAAATCTCCTAGAATGTTCTTATCAGCCTAACCTATTCTACTCTTCTTGATGCCCAAGGTCTGTCATCGATGACAGTAAGTAGCCTTGTCTTAGTGCTGTACTCACTTGAAGAGCTTTGCTTAGTTCTCCGTGGTGAAACACGTGGCATATATCGTCATTAATATAACTGTTTAATGAGCTTTACAAAGGTTTGTGGTACTCTGTAGTGTTTGTGATGAAAACGTCCTTGGTTAGAAGCCCGGTGGGTGCGTAGGGCTGATGAGTCACGAACTAGATCGAAAGAGCTGTCTAGTACTCTTTGTCGGTTTCTAAATGGCCAAACTTGGAACAAATCGAATCCCTACAAACTAACTCTTTAAAATTAATCTGATGCTCACTGGTGGCTACCTACAGGACGACGTTTCCTAGAGTTCTAGTGAAAAGTCACAACTACTGAGGTCCGCTCGGTCGGAAGTGAGGATAAATACTCATTGTTGACATTATCCGATGACAGTAGCGCTGGATTCACCAACTGGTAGAATTCAGAATCTATGGGCTGACCATTGGATGATCTACGAGCCAGTCTTATAACGGTAAGGTTCGAACCCTTCTGGCGAGTGCGTAACTCCGATGAATCTTAAACTAGGCTGACGGAATGGCTATTCAGTTCTCCTTGATGGCCCTGAAATGTTTCGCCAACTGATATCAATCCGTGATCAAACTTGAAAAACGAATTAAATCTCTACAGGCAAACTCTTGAAAAAATGACTCTTTAAAATATTAGTTTGGTTTGTAAGGGTTAGTTATGCTTTTACGAGTCGATCACGGACTGATATCAGTTAGAAAACCACTGAAAACCAGGGAGTACTGGACAGCTGTCTCATCCTAGTTTTGGGAATCATCGGTGGTACGCACCCACTGGAATTCGAACCCAGGACCTCCCGGTTACAACGCAAGCTGGCTCGTATACCTTTCAGCCACTGAGACCTGATTCAATGGCCAGCCCGTGAATTCTAACTTCTACCAATTCGTGATTTAGCACGACGCCAACCAATGTCATCGGTTGGACATCCCTTGTCACACGTGACATCTGGATGGAACTCACTGGTCACGACTTTTCACTAGAACTCCAGGAAACTCCATCCTGGATGGATGTCTCACCAACGACAATGGTTGGGGTCGCGCTAAATCACGATTTGGTAGAAGTTAGAATTCATGAGCCATTGAATCGAATCCCAGTGGCTGCATGGTATACTAGCTTGTTTACCATGTAACCGGAATCTCCTGGGCTCGAACCCTGGCAGTTGGTGCGTACTGCCAATGATTCACAAACTAGGATGAAACAGCTGGCTGTCCAGTACTCTCTGGCTGGTTTTCAATGGTTCTCTAACTGATATCAGTCCGTGATCAACTCGTGAAAGCATATTCACATATTCAAAAAGTAGATATGACTGATTTGATTGTCAAAAGTGGAAAGTCTTTCCGTCTTACAAATATAATATCAAACTGTAACAACGCTGATACTGATACGCACTGAATTTTCGAGAGAAATCAAAATGTATCCAGCAACCACACCTGCAATATTTTTCTAAAATTACTTTTCAACAGTTGAAATAAAACCACAATATAAAAAAATGTATACCATATGTTAAACAGAGATTAGTTTATTTTATTTGAACATGTGGTAAAATGTTCAACAAGGAAATTTTTGTTTTTATGAACTACTGACTTGCTTTTTAGCTTTTTATTTTTCGGCGTTTTTCGATTTAATACTGACTCAGTTTTTAAACGGATTTATTACACACAAGAGAAAGTGTTGTAGGATAAAATCAACACTAGTGGAATTGATATCATTGGTGATGTTTGAAGGTGAGTTAGATAACGAATAACAACATTGACAACAACAACAGAAGGAAGCAATAATCATTGTTGAAAAAATAGAAATCTAGAGAAGACGCCTTTTCCACCTTAGTTAAGTTAAGGCTCAGTTAAGTGTTTAACAAACCGAGTAGTAGCACTAAGTAGCACAAAAAAGAACTAAATGATAAAATAAAACAGATAGAAGAGGAGTTGGTGTCAAATAACTAACTATCCTATAAAATTCATTAGGAAGATCGAAAAAGGTCAAAAGCAAAATTTAAAAAAAAATAATAGTGAAACTAATAATGATAACATAAAGCAATGAGTGTGTACTTCCGATGAGTCCCAAACCTGGGCGAAACAACCTATCTAGTACTTCCTGGTTAACGACACTTCAAAAAGGCGTATATCAGATTAAGTGTTATTCTGGAAGAAAATACATAGATCTTACAGAAAGGTGATTGTCCACTCGCATGATGGAGCATTTCTTCCAAAGTAGTTGAATAGAGCTGAAGTCAGAGTCCTAAAAAGTTCAAAAACAAGACATCTTGTAGACTGCGGAAATGATAGTGACTCTGTCAAGTCATTCAATATTGCCGGCAGACAGCCAAACAGGAAAATGCTGTTACCGGGACTTGTACAATTAGAGTTTATAAACCAGGTTTCTGTGTTCAAATAGGAATGGTTGTCACTCTGAATCCACCATGGTAATAATTCTTACCTACTAACTGTTATCATTATTATTGTAATTTATTTTTAATTATGATTATTATTACTATTATTAATATTATTATTCCTGACTCATTTAAAACTATCTTTTATCAGTAACATTATTATTATTACTATTATTAGCATTCTTGATAGGTTCAACTCCTTCCTCTGATAACTAATTGTTTATTTACGTGATGTTATACAGCCTTAATGCATTTTATCGCAATGTTAATCTTTCATACTCTCTTCCCCTTATCTATCTGAACACGACTTGAAAAACACTCACACCTATTATTCTCCACGATCGATGCAATGTAGTTTATTTGCATACCAGTATTATATCCCCCAGCATAATTTTAATGACATATATATATATATAACCCCGTATGTAAAGTATTCAGTTGAAGAATTCTACCGAAGTTTGAGGAAGTTATTAAATCCTTCTTTATTAATTAACCTTTAATTTAATAATTCCCATTGTAGCCTTAGGAAAACACAATATTCAACGAAGAGACTCTCGCCAACAACGAATTTATTATCAAGCTGCACAATCGTATATACATATATGGATTTTAAGAAATTATATCCGGTGAGGGAATTAGATCAGAAGTGTGAACACATGAAATAATAATAGTAGTATGAAATACGATTCATATATTTGTGATTATAATCATAGTTAAATGTCAAGTAGCAGAACAATTCGTGTCATATATCGAATAATACATAAGGTGTATAGATGTTGGAAAGGCGTGCATAATTATAGGATTAGTAGGCGAATATAAAATGTTACATAATATGGTGTGAAATTTGATAAGATAGAATTCATTATTGTAAAAGCAAAAAAAACATTATAGTTTTGGATTTAGAATGACAAGTGGGACAAACGGGAACAATTCAGAGTGAGAATAATAATAATAATAATCGTAGTAATTAGGGTATTGTGAGAGCTGTCTGCTAACCAAAATTGGCAGATAGCAGTTTAAGTCAATGTTTACGTATCAAATCTTGGTCATGAGGAAAACGAAAACAAAGACTTTGCATGGGCGAATACGACTCGCAGATATATGGTCTGACCTTCAAAGAAACGGCCATAAAGAGATGACAGAATAACCATGAGCAAGAAATCAACCAATCAGAAGACGCTGTTTCTCTGCTAGTAATAACGAATAATAATGTACATAAAAATCTATAAATATCTCTTGATTTTCTCAATAAATGATCTGTTGTCTGGCCATTGTCTTCTGTCGTTACAAGGAAAAACCACATGTATACGACTGTACAGCTTGATAATAAATTCGTTGAAAAGAGTCTTTTCGCTGAATATTGTGTTTTTATTAACCTTTGTTGCTTGTTTTAAATTCATATCGCGAAATAAATGTTTCCTATCGAGTTATGACTCAGACAAAAGTAAAATGACGTTTCAGCAAGTTAAAGTGAATCAGTCAGTGCTTACCAAAGTGGTAACAAGTTAGTAACACTCTCCTTTTGCACACAGAATTCAGATTTCATTTCCCGGATGGCCAAAGTTCCAGATACTCGAACCAGTCTTGATTTAGTGTCCTTTATAAGTCATGAACCGATCTATGGAGCAGTTAAATATTGTTGAACCTCTAGAATGTAAATTCTCAGGCATATGTTCAAAAATCCAATGTAGATAACAGTCTGTCAGTTCCTCCAACATACTTGCTACTGCATGTATATATGAATTCATAAAAACAGTTGGAGTTAATGAGATTCCGGAGATTGATCTACTTTGAACTGTGTTATTGGATAGATAGTTTTGTAGCAGTAGATAGATCGTTGAGATTGCATCTTTTATTCACGTGATGAATCTTCCTTCAATTTCACCATCTTTGTTTGAATCTTAATTTAAGGAACACTGGTTTCTTCTCAACAGTAATATACACACCGCCTTCCTCATGTCACATTCACCGTACTTTTCTACGAATTGATTTAGGTATCGACTGTACTTTAAACATTCATTAATGAGATTGATTTACTTTCCAATGTCTCTTCAGAGAAGAGCTGCTCTCTGGTATGGTGTTTTGACCAAATGTCTCTTGTAACCAATTCTATCCAATTGGTTACAGGATTTCATCATGAGCTGACATTGGTTAGAGAACCATTGGAAAAGCTGGGAGAACTCGACAGCCGTTTCGTCCTAGTTCGGGACTCTTCATCAGTACGCACCCATCACGAGGGTTCGAGCCCGTGACCTTCTGGTTACAAGGCTGGCGAGCTCGCATACCATTAAGCCACTAGGACCCGATCCAATGACCCATGGATTCTAACTTCTGCCAATTCACGATATAGCGCAACCGCTAGCCAGTATCTGCGGCGAGTATTTGTCCTCACACCCGACCAATACTTGGATATCAATTAGATGCTCACTGGTGACTGGTCCTATTCAGGTAGGTAGTTACCTGGGGTTCCAGTGGGAAGTCGTGACCAGTAGGGTGCAGCAGGTTGGGTGTGAGGACAAATACTCGCCGAAGACATTGGCTAGCGGTCACACTATGTCGTGAATTGGTAGAAGTTAGAATTCATGCACTGGCCATTGGATCGGGTCCCAATGGCTTAATGGTATGCGAGCTTGCCTTGTAACCAGCAGATCCTGGGTTCAAACCCGTGCGATGGGTGCGTACTGATGAAGAGTCCCAAACTAGGACAAAACACTGTCCAGTACTCCCTGCAGATTTTCCAATGGTTCTCTAACCAATGTCAGCTCATGATGAAATCCTGTAACCAATCAACCCAATCCCTACAAACCAATACTTAATATCAACTGGATAGAAGCTACCGAAGTTTAAGTATTGAGCACACCTCCTTTCAGTGGCTCCGTCTTGTCTTCTCTTCATGCAAAATATCAAGAGAATGCAGTGGGTTATGGTGAAAAACAGTGCATTGATCAAAGTAAGGATCCGCTTCGTCCTTGCATTCACGATCATAAGTAAGCTATCAAAAAGATATGATATCCACGCCTTCATATCAATGCATGAGGATGAATATACACGTCAACGTAACTAGGAAAATCTATAAGTCGTAAACACCAAAAATCATTGGGAATTCCTAGAAGTCTAGCGCTCAGACGAAACTGCAGTCAAGAGATTGACATTGACACAGGTTAGATATACCGATCACATGGAAAGAAGGTCAACTTTTGGATCAAAAAAAGTAATCAGAACAAACAGAAATGGAAAAGATGGTGAGAATATCTCCAGAAACAGCCAATCACATTCATGGTTACCTGGAGAGATGGCTGATAAACTCTTGGAGAATTCTAAAAGGTTCTCTTGTTATTGAAGTCTGAGTTGGAGATGTTGCCTAGAAATACAATTTTTCAACTAAACACCTTGACCCTATTGTCCATTTTTTTTCGACTTCGCATCCTGTAACACTCACTCGTTTGTTTTAAATTTTCTATTTGTGTAGATGACCTTGATGTAAGGAGCGAATTTCAAAACACTCCAGCTATATCAAATCCTCCATTACATTTTAATAATGATTTAATACAAGAAGATGTGGAAGCAGAAGAGGAACAGGAGGAGCAGGTGGAGGTGAAGAATGACAAGGAATTACAAATACGCCGCCGCTGCCAGCAGCAGCAACCGCAGCAACAGCACCACTATCAAAAAGAACAAGGACATGAGGAGAAGGAGGGGGAGGAGAATTTAAATAATCAATTAAATTCACAGTCTGATTTAAGTTGGGATCAAGAATTACTCTGTTTATCACATGATCGTCTGGTAGCTTATTTCGCTGAAATGAAGGAGTCTAATGCTTAATGTATCATTATTACTATTATTATTATTACTATTTATTTATTTATTTGTATGATTCGTTATCAACTCAAATTTAAAGGTTGAACATTGAACAAATTATCACAATTGAATGGTCTCAATACTATCCCTATTCACCTGTCGCCGTCTCATTCACTTAAATGAACCGGCTCAAACGGGATTTTGGAAGTTAAGCATAATGTATATAATAATTATAATAGAGGCATCGCCATATATATGCACATACATATACATGCATTGCTGTTATGAATGATGTAGATATCTGCTTACCCGTGAGTTATGGCTTACTTCGGTGAATCATAGTAAATAAAACACACGCTTCAATCAAATTACACATTAAGCAAAATATATATAACTTGCACAAATTTATAGTTAATCATGATTGACCTCTTCTGATCTCCGATTTTTCATTTTTTTCTTTTTTGAAAATATATCCACTGTGAGATCTAAGTTGATGAGCGCACAAATCACTGGGTAGATCTGCATTTATTATTCCTGTAAATTTACGAGGTGAAAAGCAGTCCACTGCTATGCACCCATCCAATCAACAACGGAAAAAACAACATGCTACTGATGTGTGTGTTTTTCAACTTTACGCTGGCAATAATGCAAATCACAATATATTGATTTACTAGTCAGCTTGGTAGAAAAAACTTTGGGTGTCATTCTGTTGCGGGGTGGGGGAGGTAACGATTTACTCTCCCGCTGTGTTTCTTGTCATATTCATTAATTTATTTATTGATTTATTTATTGTTAGAGAAGAAGAAGAATGAGTGGTACTCAATGTGACGCAATATGATATAACTAATATTACCTTTATATACTTGTTTCTTTGGTTCCTACGTTTTCTTTCCGGCTAATGATCCACCAACTCAGACCGCGAACCCCTGACCTTTTGAATTCTTCCCCTATTCTTCTTTTCCATCACTCTTATTTAATTTTTATTCTGTGAAATGAAAAGCACATCAACACTGATGCGAATATATTTCACAGCATTTTGAACTGTTCTACATACAGTCATTCTCTTTTTACTCCTGGAACAGATCTATGTGTACATCATTTGCAAATCCCATTTCTTTCTCGGATTTTTTGATAATACATGCTGGTGGTTTAATGGTAGTGTCAAGGGTGCTGTGTTTCTAGTCTTTACAATCAATGTATAATCTCTTTTGTTTCCCAATTTAGGCAATGTATCGTTGTATAGATATTTATGAGTATAAGATGTTTTTACTATCATTACTATTATTATTAATAACTGTGATGCCGCTGATTAATCTGCGCCTGTAGTATTATGTATGTTTAACACAGAGAGAGCGAGTGAGATTCCAACGCACAACTGAATCAATTGGTCAGTACGTTTCTGTCTCTCCAACTGATAAATATTGTTTAATGTATTTCTTCACCTAACTTTTATTATTATTATTTTCTGCATTATGTGACTATGATTACTGTGAGTATATTTCACTCTTCATGATTCCATCCATATCTCTCCCTTTCTCTCTCTCCCCCTTTCTCTCTCTGAATCTGTGTCAAATAGTAAATTCTGTCATACCTTAATCAACTCAGAGATAGTAAAGGCTTCTTCAACATTTTAAGTTTTAATGGAACTTGAAAGCTGTCTCTCTCTCTAATAATAATAATAATAATAATAACCACTTGTTTTCCTTTCCCCGTTTCTTATCGAATAGTTGCTTTAACTCAATCCCATCATTTTTATTTTTATTTTTTTTTGGTTGTGATACATGTGTAAGGGAGTTGACAGTTCCCGCTTTTCAACTCACAAACAAACAAAATATTTATGCTTAGAGGAAAAGCTGAAAAGTGACAACAACACAAAACTCTTCTATTAAAAGGGGGCAAAGTGCTAATTTCATTGTGCAATCAACAATCATGACAAGAACGAAAGCACAAGGTGTGAACACTAATGACTTACTTAACTTGAATCTGCGCTTCCTCCTCCTCTTCACCAGTCTCTTGTTGATAACTCTTTTGTCTCTTCACTGTTTTGTGGCTGGAGAGGGAGAGAGAGAGCGAGGGGATTCAACAAGATTCTGTCACCTTGTTGATCAATGCATATTACACAGTATAATCTATGCTTCACATTTTGGAAGCGTTCAGTGATTAGTTCAATGTTTCCAATCTTCCTTTCTATCTTCTTTCTTCTTCTTTTTCTTCTTCCGAAAATTCACGTTTTATCTTCATTCTTTTTGCATAGGCTTCAATTATCATGAAAAAGAAGAATATATTAATTATAATTATTAAAGATAAATGGAAATAATAAATAATGACAATAATTAATTAATAATAATTATAATAATAAGATGTGAAACATGCTGTCATTGTTTTTCATTATTTTATTTAGCTCAAAAAAATGCTACCTAGCGAGTGAGTGAGTGAGTGAGTGAGTGAGCGAGTGACCCATGAGAATGTTTGCAAAAGAATTAATTCACTTGAATTTTCAAGTTTTTGGTTAGCAAGGATTTGATTGATATCACTGTTATATCGTAGAGTGAGTCCAGTGAGTACTGGATAGTGAGCAGCTAAGACCTCAGTGGATGTCAAAACTAGGACCTTCATGTTATGAGGTCGCCTCACTGACCCCTGGGAATAAATCTAGTTAACTGAGAATTATAACCATCTCCTAATTCGCTACATATGGCTGGTATAGTGATCGATATCCAGTCTGGAAATTGACCAATCAGAACTGGCCCACGTAAGTGATCAATTTATAGTCTGGAAAAAACCAATCAGAATTGGCTTCCATAAAATAACGCCTATTATTTTATTGGCCATAATTACAGGCTAATTGACATATATCCTTGGTGATATTTTGAATCATATATTATTGAGTGAAATATACTTCGCAGCTCACTTTGTTGTGTGTTCCCGCTTAAGTTAAACGGTCTGAGAAACGAGTAGCTGTAGCGTAATGTTGTTGAGTGCGTAGTTAAGCTACATTCGTGATCAGCACGTCTGCGTCTTAATCGACGTCTCTAATTCAAGCTAGGATTTTGAAAAATATATAAGTGACACCACGGACAGCCAATGTCAATGGAGTGTAGTTGACCTCACATCCGACTTGGCTGACTTCAGTATAATGGAGTGGGTCAGTAAATTAATTTTCAAGTTTTTGCTTGCTAGGATTTCGTTCACCAGCTGACATCACTTCATGAACCAACTGAGAATTAACTTAGCAGTCACAAGTTATCAATTCTAGCTATATGTATTTACCAAAACCTGGGGAAAATAGATAAAACGGAACTTCATCAAAAAACATATACCCCCAAGCCAACCTATCAAACCAAAAGCCCCAAGGAAAGCACAAAGAAAATCGCCTTACCATATACAAAGGATATCTCAGAAATCACTACAACACTCTTCAAACCTTTATGAATTGACGTCGTACACAAACCAACAAAGTCACTTCACTCAATTCTATGTCAACCAAAGGACTCAACAGCAAAAGTAGATAAAACCAACATCATTTACAAAATAAACTGCAATAGCTGAGAAAAACACTACATTAGTCAAAGTGGACGTCCCCTTCGTCTTCGTATCCACGATCATAAGCTAGCCGTCAAAAGATATGATATCCACTCCCTCATATCACAACATACAGACAACCACGGACATCAATTCGATTGGGACAACGTTCAAATATTAGACAGAGGAAACAACAAGAATGCTAGAGAATTTTTAGAAGCTTGGCATTCCAGTGAATCATCAATCAATAGACACATCGAGATAGACAAAATTTATCAACCGATAAGAAAGACACCACACACACACAAAGGGTCAAAATTCAAGTCAAATAAACAATTAGTTCCAATACAAGTAGCCTAGAAGGTGTGAAAACACAAAAAAACAACCAATCACGTCCAAGATCACCAGGAGAGATGAATAATAAACTCGTGGAGAAATCTAAAAGCTCACTTCAAATTGAAGTATGCGCTGAAGATGTCACCTAGTAGGGTGATGAAAGCTCCACAAATTAAGTATCCAGCTCAGAGAACACAACCATATCAAAATAGATAAAACTTTCTAACATTTTTAAACTTGTGAACAAAAGAAAAGATACACAAGATCTCTCGGCAACTAAAAATTAAGTTAAGATAGCTTACAAACCACTTGTCTGGTACGCTACTTGTCCAAATGTACACATGGATCGGATAACCAAGTTCAGCATCATAGAAGTAAAACTATCATCAGAACAAAAATAGTTAGATCCAACAATTCCGGTTTCAATAAAGTCTTCTTCAAAATTTACAATTATAAATCCATTAATTATGTTAGCATACATTAGAAAGTAAAGGCAAGTTAGAGCAGGTGCAAGATGGAATAAACTTGGAAAAATCAGCACACCCGTTAGTCAGTTATCTAAGTGGCATAGCGGTTAGGACGCTCGCCGACCATGCACATGGTCCGGGGTTCGATCTGCGGCTGATGCACACCTGATACCAATGGTCGGCTTGCTAAATTTGGGCTGCCTATATCACATGCTGAAAATTCCATACTTGTATCAAAAATACGGTGTGGAGTCAAGCTACAATAAAAAAAATAAATAAACAAGTTATAAAATAGAACGCATATGTTCAGAGGAATGCATTAAGGAAGAAATGTGTAAACAGAAACTTACACTACAAGAAAATGGATATCTAGAGAACTTTTTGAAGAAGTATAAATCGATACCTAGAGAGAGAGTAATGGCAGATAACGTAGATAAAAAGTCCTTGTACCTTAAGTTGCAAGTTACAAAGGGGAAATTGCAGCTGACATTCTAAAATGTCGACTTGATAGAGAAGTAGAGAGAACTTTTCCCTTAGCTAAACTGGTAGGCAGTTCCTCAACTAAACCAGTACTCATATAATGAGTCAGCAATAAATTACAAGCGATGGTCTGATCTGTGCGTATCTATGAATTGAGCTGCTCATGTGGAGCTAGTTACATTGGCTATGCTCAAAAATCTATTTCAATCAGGGCATTTTTAGACATACTTCTGAGGGCGATACCTTGAT